CACGGTCAACATGCGCGGCAAGCAGCTGGTCATGCGCCTCAACGAGGTATGCGACAGCAAGTTGAAGGTCCTGGTCGAGAAAAAAGAGACACTGCAGTTGCTTTCGGATAATACGGATCATTGCATTGAATTTATGCAAAATGCCCTTGAAAAGGGCAGCGACTTTGCCATATTATCGAGCAAAAAATCACTTGTGCGCCATCTGCAGAAGCTTAAGTGTCAGCGTGCCGATATACCCAATCCAGAGATTCCAGTGCGAATTCAGGTGCAACTAAACCAGGTCGCCGAGCTGCAAAAGGTTATCTCGCAACTGGGCATTGTTATAGTCGATGGCAAACCATATCCGCCGGCACCAGCGCCCTCTCAAAACGGGCCGCAACCACCGCCACCTCGTCAGCCACCTAGCCCGAATATGGCACCACCACTGCGTCCCGGCCTACCTCCGGGTATGACAGCTGGCCTTTCACCCAACGGTCCACCAGGTGGTTTTGGACCACAGAACGGGCCCCCAATGTACAGTAATGCGGCTGCACAACAGCAATTCAACAATCTGTCCATGAGTCGCTCCTTTCCAGGCGATGGCTCAGGTAAGGGTATGCTACAATTATCTTGATCCTAAATAATCCTTATTTTGGATGCTAACTCATGCTATGATCACTCTCTGCATGTTTACTTACAGTTCGGTTTAGTGGCATGCCACCTGTTGGCATGCAGCGTCAGGGTCAACCACATGTCAGCTCTTCTACACATCCGCAAAATATGGGTTAGTTAGAGATATAATCATATGTAAAGTACAGATTTATAGAAGTTCTAATGCTCCAAATTTTCCATAGATATCAGCCTGCGAGGATTGCTAAACAATCAGGCAGCACAAAGTCCGAATGCTCATTTGGCATTTAATGGCCCGCCTAGCTATCCAGGCGGACCGCAGGGCACACCTTCACCGGCCCACCAGCAATCGATGCCACCGATGCGGCCACATTTTATGCCCGGTCAACAAAGCTTCGGCCAAGGTGGCGGCCCAGGTGGCGGGCCCAGAGACAACAGCAGCTTCATGAACAGCAACGCGCGCTTCCAGTCACAATACCAGCGCATGGCGAGTCATGCCCAGCAGCAGGCCGCAGCAGCAGCTATGGCCAGTGCCAGTGCCGGCGGGGGCGGACAGATACCTTCCCCTGGCGCACTGCAGCGACCACCAATGATGCCCAATCCCATGCAGAATGTAAGCAAAATCATTCAGCTCATAAATTATTTAATAAATAAAATGAATAATGGTTATTGGTTTCATTAACAGCCATTGGGGTTTCATGGGAGCCAGGCTGGTTTTAACGCTGGGCCTCCACAAACCTCACCGCAGTTGAGTAGCGCTATGCACAGCCTCGCCAAATGGCATATACCACAATCTGCGCAGCAATCAAGCAGTGAGTGTCATTAAAATCAAATCCATTCCATACGATTAACAATTGAATAATTACAGTGTGCCAGCAGCAAGGACCGCTATTACCATTCGCTAATGGCCGTCAGACTTCGGAAAATTTTAAAATCTCATTAAAATCGCCAAATACTCTAAAGAATAGTACACCGCCCAGTCTCAACATGGGCGGGCCTGCCTTGCCGGGCTTAAACAATGGATCGTCCTCTGCCAATGCAATAGCGCAGTTAAACGCAGCTGCACTTGGTCTCGGCCCGGCGGTTTCCATACTCTCAAATGTCACATCGACAAATCCAAAGACACCCAGCCCTAGCACTCATGAGGTAAGAAGAATGCTAACAGTATTTATAATAGTTTGATATCTAGAGCGTTTAATTATTTTCTTCTTTTGTTATGCTAGAACACCAAGGACTTTACTGAACCTATTGACAAGGTGCGTGATGACTCCATAAATGATTTAATTGCAACCATTGCCAAATTGGACTCGAATGGCGTCCAAGTATTACCAGAAGGGCGTACCAAAACCACCTCACCGCAGGTGCATAGCTCGACGGACTTATCCAATACCCAAGAAGGTGAGTACCTCTTGCTTACAGCTAATTTCGCTTTCGGTCTAGGCTAATTCTATGGGTTGTGGGTGTGTGACTGTTTGACATCTCTCAAAAGCTGAGAATTAAATCCTGAACTCATTAAAAGAAAAATTCAAAATTTTAAGTGAAAACAATTGGTAATGTATATAAAAAAAATGCCCTTTATAAATGTTTCTTTGTAAAATATAAAAATATGCTGTAAGTTTCTAATCTGCTGTTACTAAAATAACTATGTTAATTAGCTTGAAACTTTGAGTTCCTATTTGAATGAGTGAGAGCAACAATCTGGTTATTTCAATCTGTCACTTTAAGCATTGTATCTCAGTTTTATATTTAACATTACTTTGCTGCTGGTTTTAAATCGATTTTATTCAATTCTCATGTAAGTTTGCTTTGTTTATTTCTATTTTCAAAACTGCAAAACTCGATTTCCGAAAACCAAACCAAAAACCCAAAATAAAAACCAATTTAAACGCGCAATAAACCGTAAAAATCAATTACTAACCAATAAATTATTATATTCGACAATTCAAAATGAAACCAAACAAACCAAATCAAATCAAACCACAAACAAATCAACACGAAACAAATACACATACACATAAACATACACACACCCATACACACTCATCGTACACGAATGCAAACATACAACTAATCATATCAGTTAATAATAAAAACGAACAAAAAGACGACCCCAATGAGGATTGGTGTGCTGTATGCCTGGATGGCGGCGAATTGATGTGCTGCGACAAATGCCCAAAAGTATTCCATCAGAACTGTCACATACCCGCGATAAGCTCGCTGCCGGATGAGAGCGAGAGCTGGCAATGTTTGTTGTGTGTCAATCTCAAGGAGCTAACCAAAGCTGAGGGTAACGAAAAGTCGCAACCGGGCGAGCTGAGCAGCTTGGAGTTGAGAATACTGCAGCGTATATGTCTGGAGCTCTACTGTCAGTATGAACAGAGCCTTAACTTCCGTGAACCGGAATCCCCGGCTAACGCGCAGTACTATGAGATTATTTGCAAGTAAGTTCCCGTAAGTGCTTTTGTGAAAGAATAATATATTGACTTGAATTGTCCCCATAGCCCTATGTCGTTAGATGTTATTCGCACGCGCTTAGATCCTTCAAGTCCCAATCACTACAAGGATATAGCTGGCTTTGTCTCTGATGTTCGATTAATCTTCAAGAATACTTATCTCTTTTATCAGGTGAGTGAATTGTGTATTCGTCGAGTTTCGGTCAGTTTTATAAATTTGTGCTTGTATTCCTTTCACACAGGAGGACTCGAAGACATATAGCAATGCCAAATATTTGGAAAACTTTTTTGAAGAGCAACTGGCTAAATGGCTGCCCAACTATGTCAGCAAAAACGGCACTTCCACTTCATCCAATTCGCCAAGCTTGCAGGCGGCGGCTGCTGCTGGGTCTCCAGCACCAGTTGAGAACGGCCGGAAGAGCTGCAGCTCTGCCTCGCTGGCAGACAGCGAAGATGCTTGCTTGCCGGCCAAGCGGCTGCGTCGCTCCGCGCATGAATAGAACGAGCTTTTGCCCGATGAGAAGGGCACGGAGAAGCAGCCGCAGCCAGACGATAAAGAAAAGCAGTCTAACAAAAAAGACGAGGAAGAGGAAGAAAAACACAATAATTCAGAACGAAATCAAAAGCAACCCGAAGATGGTGAACCGCCGCTTTCGGAAAAAGAAGCTGATAAAAGAGAAGAGCCGTACTTAGCGGATCTGGAATTGGATTTAGCACAGCGACCTCGTAGTTTGGGTAGCAATGTAATACAGGAGAGCGCCGATTATGTGCTTCAGCTTCTGCATGCGTATGCCGCTGCTTTTGGACTGTAGAGCGTTCGATTGAGTGACACATGAAGAAACATATCCGTACACACTCGCAACTACAAAACCCAACACTGTTATAAATAATGAATGGCGCTATACAAGTATATATACTATATGAGTAAATATGATAATCCAAGAATTTTGTAGCTGGTGTACAATTAGTTTTTAATTACCCAACTGTAAATAAGCAAGTCATTTGATATGATTTATGATTTAATAATGCAACAATAAATTTGAAGGTCTCTAGTTAAGTCATGTGCAGATGTTTTAGCTAAACTCTTAAGTGTTAAATATACATAGGTAAACATATATACCAAGTAGAGATTAATTCCGAGCTTAAGTTTACTCCAAATTCACTGCATAATTTAAGAGTGATCCAGACTCTACCCTCTAACCCTCTGTATGTGTTAGAGTTGTATTTACTTTTGTGATAGCAAAAAAAATATAATAATAATAACAAAATGAAAATGAACAAATTTAATTCTAGTATGTATATTAAATACAGCATCCCAAATCATTTTGACATTTTACTTTCGAATTTGCTATGTACGATATTTATTGCCCATTTTTCCGATACTGTATCCATATATACACATATATCCAAAACCTAAGCATTTTCTCAAACCATTTCTTTTCACGCACGCTCATTTATAGAACAACAAACATTCGTATACCGTTTAAGAAGACATTTGTAATAAGTTGCAATTAGGAAAATAAGTTTGAATGAATGAAACCCACAATATAATACAATACAATATATATACACAAATATATATATTAAAAAAACATAGATCTTTTAATGTTGTACGTTTGACGTTCTAATTTAAGTATACCATATAGAGCCGATAAAGCAGCAGCCAATCAGTCTACTAGTAATACCCATTAGAGCCATAACAATACACTACTCCGTTATGAAATAAGGTCAATGCACAATAAGTATGCATTGGTATCGATGTGTATATATAGTACATACATATATGACAAAACTATCTATAATAATTATTATTTCCAACTCAACTAACCAGTCAAATGCTGTGGACAAATGTTTTGTTTTTATATTACATACATATGTATAGTAGTAAGACATGAAATTGAAACTGAAATAAAGCTCGATTCACTATATTGCGAATATTTTTATAAAGAGTTTAACTACACACTTGAAAAGGAAAATACAAGAATATCTTCTAACCGATCTAATCAAATCACAACTATAATAATAAACTGAAATCCTATTAATGTCACACAATGAAAAACAATAAAGTAGAAAAACATGAAAACGAAATTACATAGATGTAATGTCTACTATAGATATATATGTATATGTATGTATTAATAGAGGAACATGAATGTGTGTGCTATCCTATCAAAATTGAGGCAAACAATTGAAAGTGGAATGATACCAGGCGGATGCCTATTATGTTTATATGTTGAATGTGAAAACCATAGAAATTATTATATATCTGTTTTAGCTGTAAGTTTTACTATAAATATCGAAAAGAAAATATGAAATTACATACTGAATGTACTACTTACTATCAAGTGGATTTTTAAATAAAAGAAAAAACATTTCACTTCGATGCTCATTCTTAATCTATCATATACCAAAGAAGCCATCGTCCCGCATATATTGTTCGTCCAGATGCTGGTATGGCTACAGCAGAAATCGCTCATCAATCAGCGTCTTGCGCGAGACATTGCGACGCACCCAGCGCTTGAAGATGTGGCGCATAAGCTGCAATGATTGATGGGCAGCTGTCGGAAATGGCCGAGAATTGAGATATTTATCTTTTGACTCACCATATTTATGGCGCAAGCTATAGCGACGCCAAGCAGCAAGCTGGAGGTCAGCAAATAGATGGAGAGCAGCACAAGTAACTCCAGTACAAATATATGTAAATGGTTTCCCAGCAGCAGAACGCGACTAAAGCTCAGTGCATCATCAATGTAGAAGGTGCCCTTATCTATGAGATACATATATAAATATGTTGTTTTCCCCTGATTTAGAAGACCTCTTGCATAACTCACTCTCCGTTAGATAGTTTTCAATTTCACAGTTGAATAGCTTTTCCGTCAATGTTTTTTCCTTAATGATATAATCCATATCCTTGATGGCCTGTATAAAATTATATTTTTAGTTTTATTTAAATTTATATTGAAATTTTCAAATTTAGAAACTAAATTTATTTAAATTATTGTTATAACACTATTTTAGTATATATTAACTCACGTGATCGATAAATGCACAGAAGAACCGATTGACGCTGGCGTAGGCAATGGAAGTGCGCTCCACCTGGCCATCAATGCTGGAGATTTGCGGTTCCTTTTGGTAGAGCAACGTCTGAGACATGCTGCCATCTCGGCTGCGTTGGAACGGCAAAAGCAGGCGATCCAAGTATATACTAAAATGCAGGTAAAGAATCCAAGTTGAAAGTATACTAGGAGGATAGCAAGTAAAGCTATACCCACCGCAGATTACGTGGTGGCAATATAATGTAGGACTGTTTGTCCGAGTCAATAAGCAGTCCACGTCGGCCGCACATGTTCTGTGCCTCGCGCTGCAGCTGCAGGATCATGGAGGACATGTCCGTATCGGCAAAACCATGCGGCGAACGTCCATGTATATAGTAGCCGTAGCCCGGCTCGAGTAGCGAAAACAAAGAGATGTTAGCCAGGCTGCAGAGATCAACGAACTTCTGGAGTGGATTGGATTGCAGCACTCGAAGCAACAGCAATTGCAACAGATATGTGACCACATACACAGCACTTATCAAGAAATAGCTAAGACCTTGAGACTTCCCGAAATGCTGGAGCAACTGAGAGGCGGCGATCACGACAAAGGCTTGAACCAAACTGGAATATCGCTGAGCACAGCTAAGGCGAATCCAGGCATTGGCTGTAAACAGAATTCGCCAGGCGGAAACGCTGCTCTCGGCGACATAGGTGCGCACGCTGGAGCAGAGCGAGGAGCTGTCCAGATTGAGGCGCTGACCCTCACAGCTGCTGCGCGGACGTTCCCAATCGATGAGGAACAGCTCCAGTTGGCTGGCGCGTCGCAGATGTACAGCGAGAAAGATGAGCTGCAGCAGGCAGGCGGGATAGATGAGCACTGCCAATCGCTGAGGCATGGAAGCCTGCAGAGCCAACAACAGCAACGCCGTGATAAGCAACGCCAGTGCCACATTGGCGGCCAGTTGAAGCAATAGCTCCAGCAAATTTATGGCCTGGCAGAGTTCGGCGCGGCGGCGTCGTCTCAGATTCTGCAGGCGGAGCAGTGCAGCCACGAAGGCCAACAGCAGCAGCAAGGGCAGAGCCAGTTCCAACAAGAGCTTCGCAGTGCCGCTTTGATTCAGTTGCTCAAAGCGGATGCGCAATTGAAATGGATATAGCTGAGTCAAGGACGCGTTCCCCGTAATTTCAATGTGACGATAGCTGAGCCTTAGCAGGGGCAGTCCCAGCCGCTGGCCAGGCTGGACGTTGTACTTCAGCTCCACTCGATCCACATATCGCAAGGAGCGGTAGAGTTGCAACTTATGGGCATCTTCATAAAGCGGTAAAATTGGATGCATTCGATTGTCCCGCGGATACGCGGAAATCAGCTGAAAGCGCTTTACTAGCTGCCATTCCTCTGCCTGCGAGCGCTGCAATGGGGAAGAACGATTAACAAACTAGGATTACGTCGCATAGTCAGATACCTTACCTGATTTTCTGCAGTAAGCGTTTCGATGAGCACAGGCAGCTGGTGTAGGAGATATGACCAGTTGCTGCTAAAGTTGAGATAGAGATTATGGTAGTTGTCATTCCCGTCTCGACTAGCGAAATCTATGAGCTGCTCCAGACTCAGCAAGCAGCTAAGCTCCGGCTGGTGCTGCTGTTGTAAGCCCAAAGTGGGTGCCCTTTGAGCTGGGCAAAGGTTAAGCTGCTCCAAGTGAAAAGGACCCCAACGCTTAAGACGTCCCGCCAAATCGTAGGTTGTGCTAAAGATTTGTAGCTCCGTCTGATTCGCCAGATGGAGCGTGGTTGTAAGCAACTCTCGCGTTGCTCTGCCCTTTTTATAGAACAGAAAGGGCTCCAGAGCGCGCAGCTGTTCGCCCGCATGGGCATATTTGATGACCACATCCGACATCTGAGTCAGCAGAAAGGGGCTGCATGGCGAGTGCTTGTCCAAGGAGTAGTGCGAGAGGACACACAGATTGGCCAGTTCTTGGCATGCACTGTCATTCCTGAGTGCCAAGCAAAAGAAGGCAACAAACTTGAGGTCCCCAAAGTGGAGCCGGCTGGCGGAGCTGGACCTCAATTTTATGGTGGTCTGCCAGAAAGCGTTGTAGTGCAAATACGGTTGTAATAGCGTGTTGGCTATGCAATAGTCCTGGTAGTGGAAATTATACGCAGCATTGCAACTGTGACAGTCGCTGCTATTGCTGCCGGAGTTCGTTTTGGTCAACACTATGGAGCCGCTTGTTGAACTATTCAGATACTGGAAGCTGCACTGTGTGGATGGCAATTGAGCTTCCGTACAGTTCTCAGAGGGCTTTGTGGCATTGCTACAGATCTCATTGCAGGTTGGCCAACGTTTGGACTTCTCGAAAACCGATATATGCCCAGCTGGACAGTGACAACTGAACTCTGAATGGGGGAGAAAGCAAAGAGCAAAGAGAGATTATAATTAGAGAGCTGTATGAGCTTGCGCATTCGGCTAAGGTTATTTGGAATGCATATACTATTTTATAAAGCATAATTAATCGCTGTTTCTACCATATTAAAAATCATATCACGTAAACTGATCTAGTTATAGACTTCAATGTGAATTTGATATACAGACAAGTTATTTGGAGCACATCCATAAGAAGAGCTGAAATACATCAGAATTCTCACGTGATCCTCATAGCAAATCGAGCCTCCCAGCTCTATAGGTAGGAGTTGCCACTCAAATGGCTTGCTTCTGTCACTCAAAGCTTAACCTCAATTGGAAATCCAACATGCAATTTTCTACTTCGTGGTAAACGCTCTAAATGCAATCTCTAAAGAGTGGTACTGCTCCCCCATCTCCTGCATCGTCATTTGTTTAATCAATAGACCCACTTACTGTCTGCAGTAGGCTGCAGCTCCTTCGTGTCTCCGTCTCCAGGCTCATTGCAGGGTGAGCATTGAAAATAGTTCAAATTGTAGAACTCATTCCTGAGACACTTCTGAGGATGTTGAAAACGAAATGTGTGTGGCGTTGGCGATGGTTTCGAATCCAAAATCGTACAGTTTCCGAGCTTAATGAAAACTGTTGTCCACAACAATGGGAAGAACCAATTTACCAAAAGGAAGCACATATTACTCAAACAATATATATGATAGTTCTTTCGTTTTCCGATGTGGGCTCAACGAATCACAAATGTGAACTGAATTTGAGCTGCAATTGCGGTTGCACGTTGGCAAGTAAACAAGTTCTCAGTGGAGTGGGTACATATCCTTTATTGTTTGCCAAAAGTTGCTATAGCTACCCAACCCCCATGCAATATGCTTATTCCACCTGTTTCAGTTGGTGGTGTTCTTTGTTTTGTTTTATTTAGTTTTTATGAACAGTTGAATGACTGACCACCACAGCAATGGGTTAATGAGGGCGTCACTTGTTACGCCTTTCGTTTTGGTTATCGCGTGCTTGACGACTTTTTTCGCCATTTGCGTGCTGTAAATTATGATTAGCTTATTTATAGTAGTTACATTTTGCACATACAAGTTATTTAGCTTACGAAAATGAGTATAATTAATTTCTAATGGATTTACATTAAGAATGGAACTTTGCTTTCTTATTTAGTTTACGATATTATATTAGATTAGGATCAGCAAATATAATATACATACAAAATTTAAGGCTGTATAAATATTTTTGTACGTAAGGTGATTATGGATAATTTATGTAATTTCAAAAAAAAACGTTTATGGTTAAGTATAACAGTTTAAACTGTAATATGCAAATTTATGATACAACCTTAAAAGTATCGGCATTATTCCCAATATCGCAAATATCCACTGGCAACGAAACAAAAATATCGATGTAACATCTCGAGCTCAAAACATCGTCTATGTTGCAATTAATCGATAAGTGTAAGTATCAACAGTCCCCACTTCCTTGCCGAAGGACAACAGAAATAGTCGGCAGACACATACAATTTTCATTTTTGTGACGCTGTTAAAGCACGGACACAATTACAATCCAATTGGACAACTAGCAATAACCGTTAGTGTTTCAAAGATGCATTGGTGGCGCCATTCCAAATAGATGCAGATGTCGCTGCACTCGACGCACCGTACATAGCCGAAAAATGAACAATTTGGTGAGTGTGTGTGCTGTGTGTATATTTGTAGATTGGTTGGGTGGGATGTGGGTGGGGTGTATAGGTGTTGGCGTGCATGTATACGATTGCCCCTGTCTGTGTGTGAAAACTAAGAGTGTTGTATTTGTGTTTGCATTTATATACGTTTGTGTGGATACTTGAAACCTGATTGCAGGAGCACGTCAAGCATTTTTATCCAGAAAATTACAAATTGGATCTCTCAGAGACAATGAAGGCGGCATTATCCAAAGGCCCAGTGGGCGGGGGCGTGGTCAATGCAGTAAGTAGCAACAACAGTAGCAGTAGCAGTAGCAGCAACATAACCAGCTCCATGGGCGGACCAACACACACCGAAATGCTACAACAGCAGCCAAACGCCGGCGTTGGCTATGTCACCGAAAAGCTCTATATGCTGCTACAGCTTTATCTGCAAAACAAGGGCTGGAACCCGAGCGCGGAACTGTTGCAGTGCTTCAGTGATCTGAAGGACAACGCCATGCTGCCCAGTGCCGCCTACTTGCAGTAAGTATAGACAATTAACAATTCAATCCAGTCAATTCATTGCTTTCCCACACAGAGTCCTGGCCAATCGACTTACTCTGGACTCACAAGGTAGACTCATATTGCGCGACAATGGAAAGATTGTGCTGCCTTTTGAGCATTTTGCCAATGCGGTGATGTTGAAGCACATGTCGGGACCGCATGGTCTGCATCTTAGTGTAGATGCCACGGTGCGCGCGGTCATTGAGTCGTACACCATTGGACGAGACCAGTTCGGTATGGAAAAGGAGTTTATTATTGAAGTGGTGCAATCGTGTCCCAGTCCGGCCTGTCGCTATTATAAGAATCACATGGGTATATCCCCCATGCCTTTTATGGAACAACAATATCCTGGCGTTAATACGCCTGACTTTTTGCAGCGCCTATCGCATCTGCCACCAAGTGCTGCCGCAGGAAGCAGCGCTACAGTTAGTTCGGCTGTTGCCAGTGCTGCTAGTGGCGTACCCAGTGGCAGCAACAACGCTGCTCCTGTCGAGATTGACTTGTCCAAATCGAGCGGCTCCAAGGTGCCGCCACAGTTGCAGCACTTAACTAAACAACAGCAGAGTAGCATACAATCGCAGCTGTCGCAAATAAGTGCGGCCGCTGCTGTCGCGCATCATCAGCAGCATCAGCAACAGCAGCAGCAACAACAGCAGCAGCAACAGCAACAGCAGCAGCAGCAACAACAGCAACAACAGGCTCATGCTCAAGCACAGGCAAAACACCAGCAACAACTGACAGCCGCATTGATTCAACAGCAAAATCGCGTGCTCGCTCAGCAGAGCCTGGAAAAGCTTGGCAATCTAAGTGCTTTGGAGAAGCAACGGGTATTCGCGCAACTCGATCCCAAGCATTTTGACCCAATGGCTGTTGCAGCAGCAGCCGCCAATTTGCAAATTCAAGGCATGATGCAGTCACAGGCAGTGGCAGCAGCTGTCGCCTCTAACCAGCAGCAGCCCACGCCATTAACTACGACTAACTCCTCGGCAACAGTCGGATCTAGCATCGGGGCACAGGTGCATCATACGCATCATTCGTTGCCACCGCCTTCCCAATCGCCGCACTCGTCATCATCGTCTTCCTCTCACTCATCCATGGATCAGTTCACGCATAAGAATATTTCTGATTCCTTGCGGTAGCTTATCTAATCTTTACCAATTGTTCGATTCAATTTCATTGTGTACTCTCTCTCAATAGATCCAATTTGGACTCGATTGAATCAAATAAGGATCTGTTGGCGCTGCATAATGGCGCCTGGGCCAGTCACGATGCCAACCGGATCGATCACATGACAGTTGGGCAGGACAAGATTGTGCGCATATTTTCAGAGCTAATGCGGAACATGTCACGCATGAAGACATACATACGGCCTTCCATGTGTAAGCCCTACGGCAAGCAAAGCGAGAGTCTGCAGAAGAGTAAGTGAATCTGATAATTTATCAACTACTTAGCTGAAATATTTATTATTCCTCTACAGCTCTCATGGATACCATTCAGATCGTGCAGACGTTGCGCAATTGCTTACCGGCACCCCACATTCCTGTTTCGTCTTGGAAGAGCGAAAGCGAGGGTACTGTCGGTGTGGGTGTAGGCGTGGGAGTGGGTGTGCCACAAGGTATGGGTATGAATACGCTTGGCTTGCAATCCAATCGAACGGATAATCTGCACTGAATTGGATTGTAAAGCTCACAATCGAATCAAAATTAAATTACATTAGGTAATATCTTATATTCCTGCGATTCCGAGCATAATACAGTATTTACATAGAATAGAATTTCATCTTTATAGGCTTGGCTCATGGTTTTCCAATTACCTATTATGTGCCATGTTTACCACAAGACTTGATTTCATTTCAATATTTGACTGATATTTTATAACACAATGACACTGGTAGAAAGTTGTGTGTCTCCCATCGTTTAACTAGTGTCATTATGTCATTAGAATTATGCGCTTAAATCCGGCTAGAGTCTTAGATTAAGCTGCAATCCCTTGAGCTATCCATACTTATAAGATTTCGTTATTTTGTTTTGTAATTCGATTATTTTGGTATTTGATTTGGCATGAACAAAATTGACGAAGCATATGAATTCAATTGGCAAAAAGTCTGTGATATTTAAATTATGTTTAAAAAAGCACATTAACGAAACAAAAACAAATCTAAATTTAATTAATTTTTAGCTGTCGGCCCTTTGTTGTGTAAACTACAATTTCCTTTGTGCAATATTACAAGGTGTCTAACTATCTATTCTTAATCACTTTTGTGCAATTGACAACGTTTCACTCATATCAGCAGCGCGCATAGAATTAAAACGACTCAACAATATAAGAAAGGCATCCGGCCTATACTACATAATAAAATGTATTACATATGAAGTATATACATACGTATTAAGAAACATACATACAATTACTTAAGATATTTTGCTATATTGTGTCGTCGGCGGTTGTCACGTAGAAAACGTATAGAAGAGAGTGGAGTTGTATTACTTTATAAGCAGAAAGTGGGTTGTAATTCGACTACATACATTCATACACATAAGCTAATCTTATATTTTATTCCATGCTCATACATTGAAATAACCAATTATTATCAAACATACAGTATTAACCAGAAATAAAGACACTTGTAAACCTTTAATATTTGCCTAGCTAAAATAAATATATTTAAATAAACATTACAATATCCCTTAAACTTCACCTGTGCAATACAATTCAAATATTAGATGTATTCCATTTAGAATTTTGTACGTTAGTAGATTTTCAATTGTGCGCTCAGCTTGCATCGCGTAGTTGGCAACATTGACATTGGCCATTGTTGCTTTCGGAAAAACATCGATAGTTGCATAATTTTAGAGTTCACAAACATCGCAGTAATCATTATTAATCGATATATACAATCGATATCAACTTCCCTACCGTCTGTGCTTGTGCACTGCGTTTTTCGTTGATAATTTTTTAAAATTAAGTTTTAACGTATTTATTTAGTAATTTATTCGTTTAAAATAGTTGCAAGGTGCCCAATAACCATTCAGCAACGTTATGCTTTTTATTTTGAGTAATTTTTTGCGCGCGTTTCGTGTGAAAATGTGAAAAACATTGCCGATGGTATTGGTAATTGGAGAACGTTTTTTCTATTATTTTATCTCCTCCTCTTCCGCTTCGTTTTGTGTCGTGCTACGCTCTTTGTACTCCTGCTCGCTCTAATCATATGCCCGTCATTTGTGAAGTTGTGTGAAAGTAAATAACAAAATATGTGGCGCATTTCTAAAATAAAATTGCGGTGTAAACGCATGGATGGCTACAAAAAAAAATAATTGTTGAGTTTCCAACAACATAAGATGATAGCAGACGCTCCCCCAATACGGTGCCGAGCTGGCATATTTAGGTACGCGACGCCGTCAACTTGTGCGATAATCAACGGCCGCGCACTGCTCAGTGTGCGCAAGGAATTTACAACAACAAAAACAATGTTGTTTTGTGCGCGCTTAGAGAACAATAATGAAATGTGAAACTATAGCTTTACAGTTTTACTGATACGAAGTCAGCTCGATGAATACCTAATAAATTTCGTTGTGGACTACGCAGCATCTTAAAACATATGGCAATACATATGTGTATGTATGTATACGTCCGAAGTCCAATAGGTCGTGTTGATAACCATATTTGTGATTATGCGTAGAATTTTTAATGTTTATAATTTTTTTAATTCGTCAAAGAATTGTTTTTAAATTATATACCGGCTTGTTGGTTATATAAGTAATTATTGTTGCAATGCTATCTGTTGAATGCAACTAAAAACTATGAATTGTTCATAACCTAGGACACATTCCATAGTGTGCCTGTTGTTGTTGCACATAAAGCAACCAAGCATGTAAATTTAAACGTACGCTTAAATTAAAAATTAAACAAAATGGCAGTTGGAGCACGCAGCAATGTTCTTGGGTGTGAGCGCCGGACACTCGCTCAGAGAGCGACAGAGAAAGAGAGTGAGAGAGAGAGGCAAGCGAGTGAAGTAGCGAGTGTTGCTCGTGTCTTGAGTTAACGTGGAAAGTGTTTGCCTGTGTAAGAACATGTGTGTATGTGTATGTGTGTATGTAACAGAGTGTGGAGTAAAAAGATGGAGCACAAGATATATAAAAACAAAATGCAAGCGTTTAATAACAAGAACAAGTGCAAAACAAATATGAAATTATAAAACTTAAAAAGGTTTCTTGTCTTTCTTTCGTAATTTAGAGTTTCTCAACAGCAGTGAAAATAACTGCTGTGTGCAGCAACAGTGACGACAAATGTGTGTAGATGTGTGCGTGTGCATGTATGCTGAAAGAAAAACAACACAAATAAGAAAAAATAAAATCGAAAAGGAACAGAAACAGAGAAATTATATATTTAAATACGGAAATTAATGTAAAGTGTAGCGAATACAAAACAGCATAACTAATGTACGGCGTAAAAATGCTGCAGCTACTGCTGGTACGGCTGAAAAAATGACCGATGAGCGCAACGGTAACGGCAATAAGAGCAATATTAACAGCAGCAGCAACAACAATAGCAGTCCAACAAGCGTTGCCAGCCACAGCAGTAGCAACAGTACAAGCAGCAACAGCAACAGCAACAACGATCGTTTAATTGCAGAGGCGGCTGCAAAATTTTTACTCAAAAATGGTATAAACGGCACAAATACAGCAGCAGCAGCCGCAGCAGCCACACTGCTAACAGCAGCTGCAGCTGCTGTCACATTTCAACTGCCTGCCGCACCAGAACTGAAGCCAACAACGTCTGCAACAGCAACAAACGCAACAAATTCAGCTACATCTTCTTCAACAGCAACATCAACATCCAATGGCACCTCGCCCACATTATCATCAACTAAAACAAACAGCAGTAGCAGCTCAAGTCTCACTATGGCGACGGCCTCTGCTACCGCTCTCATTGCCGGTGGAGCAGGCGTTGCAGCTCCAAAGGCGCCTGTCGATGTTATGTCCGGCGTGCTGGACTATAGTGCATTAAATAGTCCCAGCGCGACAAAGAGCAGCAAATTTGTGGGCACAGGCAACGGCAGCAGTAGTTTTGATATGGGCAGGCATCCAATATCAATGCACAGCAATAACAACATGTCCGGCTGTGGAGGCCGGCTCCAGTTTTTTAAAGGTTGGTAAATTGTTTGTATTTTGTCAATAGATCATTTTGTTGCCTCTCATATTGCGTTCATCTAACTAACGGAAATATTTGATATTTTGTATTTCAGAAGGTAAATTCATATTGGAACTGGCACGTGGCGATAAAGGCAGCTGGGTATCAGTACCGCGTAAGCCATTCCGCACACCATCGGCAGCGACTTCGGCCACGGTAACGCCCACATCGGCAGTGACAACAACGTATCCAAAGAATGAAAATTCCACATCATTAAGCTGTAATTATTAGACGACTTTACTAAGATAGAGTACCATTTAAACAATTTATGTTTTCAGTTTCGGATGACAATAGCTCCATTCAGTCATCACCTTGGCAGCGTGACCAACCCTGGAAGCAAACGCGACCGCGTCGTGGCATTTCCAAAGAACTGTCGCTCTTCTACCAGCGTCCTAGGCACCATGTGCTTAGCCAAAGTGCACGACAAGCTGCAATGCGTAAACGAAGGCGTCCCTACGAGCCAACAATTTCAACTGAGAATCATCAGTCAATCTTTGAGCGCGTTTCTACGCAGGAAAATGGCGATGAAACGCTTAAACCTATAGAAACTGAAACAAAGACACCCGAAGTGCAGTCGGATGAGATTAAATCGGAGGCAATCAAGGAGGAGTTGACTGAGAGCAAGATGGAATCGAAGGCAAAGCCGTGTTCCAGTGACAACAAAGACTCGAATGTCTCAACAGCGAAAGCTGAGGCAGCATTAGAGAAAATGAACACAAGTGAAGATGAGGATGCTATGTCGGTGACAGTGGACGATGGGGCGGCTGCAGCCTGTGATGGTTTGGTGAACGGCAATGCGAGCGAAGTAAATGGTGATCCCAAAGCACACACTAAGTGTGAGACGGCCAGTGAAAAAGACTCAAGAAAAACAGGAGCACCAACAACAAAATCAACAACGACGATGACAGACATAAGACTTAAAAAGCAGAAACCCAGAGCCAAGCTCAATAGCATCATACAGAAATTAATTGACGGCGTGCCTGCGCGCCTAGAGCAATTGTCAAAGACACCAGCGACGGGGGCGGCAACAGCGTCAACTGTGGTTTCAACAGCAGATCGCATCAGCAGCAACAGCAGCGGTGGCGGAGCCATCGGTAGTCTAAGTCACTCTTTGGCGCATAAGGTACGAATTGCTATTCATTAGTCAACAATTTTTATTTATGTGTAACCAATTGCACTTGTATAATTGACTTCTATCGTTGCCTAATACATGTTGTTTCGGTCTTTTAGGTTTCGCCGCCATCGTCGGCAGCGGCTGCCAGCCGTCTAGTCGAATATCATCATCATCAACATGTGTCTCCACGCAAGCGCATTCTGCGTGAATTCGAGAAGGTATCGCTGGAGGATAACAATGGCTGCGTCAACAATGGTAGTGGAGTTGGTGGCGGGATTAGTGGCGGCGCTGGGGGAAAACGTAGCCGTGCAAAGGGCAGCACGGCAACAAGTGTAGTGGCCCCCAAATCCATGCCCATCAATTTGGCGCCGCCACAGGCTAAAGTTTTGGCAACGCCAACAACTTCAACGACCTCAGTAGCAGTAGCAGCAGCAGCTGTAGCAACGCAACCGACTCGACTGAATAGCTCATATAGCATACACTCATTATTGGGTGGCAGCGGTAGCAGCTCCTCCAAGAAGAGCCATGACCAGCCGGCCGCAATAATTAGCAACGTGCACAATCAGCATCACCATCATCACTCATTGTACGCCAGTTCCGCCAACTACCCACGCTCGACGCTCAATTCACCCAAGTCACCGGAAATGGGAGGCAGTAATGGGGGTAAATCGCCGTCACATGCGGCTAGTAAGAAGCAACGTTCACCTCCTTATGCAGCTGCCGGATCACCGTTACCTATCGACTATGGACGACGCACACCGCCAGATAGCTATAAGTTGGCACAAGCGCACGCACAGCAGCTACAGCATCATTCCTTCTATGCTCCATATGGTGGCGCTACTGTTTCGCCGCACATTCCACAGACGGGTGGTGGTTCCGGCTCACGTGATTTGCTGTCACCGCCTCGGTCTTCCAGCGCCTCGCCACGGGAGCCAGCAGCAGCTGCTGGTGCTGCCACTACACCGCACCGCACAGTGCCCAAAAAGACTGCATCGATTCGACGCGAATTCGCCTCACCTACTGCCAGCAATAGTAATAGCAGTAGCGCGGCCAACAGTTGCCCCTCGCCAGGCGAGCGCAGCACTTCGTCCCCGGAAAGGCGGCATCTTCAATTGCAACGTGGCTCGCCTAGCGCTGTTGCTGCAGCTTCTGGTTCGCCATTACACTACTACATGTATCCGCCAACGCAGCTGAATGGCAGTGGCACGGGTAGTCCACATGGAATAGCGCCGAATGCAACGCCCACGACAAGCAGCGCCGCGGTTGCCGCAGCTGCTGCCGCGGCTGCTGCAGCTGCATACATTCCATCGGTAGTCTCGCCCTCTCTCTACCATCCTTACATATCGACGCTTGCCGCGTTGCGTCACAATCCGCTGTGGGTGCAGCATTACCAGGCAGGTGCATCGCCACTATTGCCGCCACCGCCTCCGCATCCACATTCGCATCCACAGACGAGTAGTGCGGCTGGAGCACGATTATCACCACAATCGCCGTATCATCCATTTAACTATAATGGTGTTAATGCGGCCGCTGTGGCAGTCGCAGCGGCTGCGGCAGCTTCTGCTTTTGGGCAGCCAACATCGAATCCGCATTTGGGACATCCAACGCATCCAGGGGCTTTGGGACACCATAATACGCCGCCTACACATTTGGCCGAGCACAGAACGCATACGCCAAAACTGACTGATATCTGTACTGATCAAATGTCTGCAGCGTCCAGTCATCGCACCACTATCTCCAGTTTACCGGCAGGCTCAAGCGTGCCCGTAACGTCTGCAGGTACAACGCAAGGTGGTGGTGGTGCAGGCAGCGGCAGCACTATTAACTCAGTACAATCCGCAATGTTTCAAAATAGTAGTCTAAGAAATGAACTAAGTTCAGGTGAGCGTAATTGAGTGATATATAAAGTTAAAATATTAAAACTAATTATAACATTAAATTCCAGACTTACCACTGAATCTGTCAAAACACTGAGACATTCGCGTTCACTCCACCATCCTCCTAGCCCCATCCATCCCAGCAGTTTCAGTGTGCGTTTGGGCAAACCCTCGAGTTAAGTACATTATTGCACTAGTAGCGCTTAAGACGACATTCAAACAACACTACACACATAAAACTTATGGATAAGTTCGCTGCTATTTATTAGTTGTAACTCAATTGTTTTGCATTAAGATAGCTAGGGTTTATTTTAAGGCCGAGAGACAATTTAAACTACAAAGAAGAAAGAACAACTGCGAGTTTTTCTATACAAATTTTAAAATGTTTTCAAAACCGTTCCAAAACCCGTTAGGAATATAATTAAAATACACTTTATTTGGCCAACATATTCAATAACCAAACTTATGAATAATATTATATAAATATATATATTTTTGTATATTCCCATAGGATGCACGTCTTAAAGAATCTCAAAAAATATTTAAAGGCCATTATTTCAATGTCAGGGTACAAAATGAATTTTGTTTAAACTGTTCATTGAGTAGGTGGACCTAAGATTTTTTTTTATCAAAACATTTCCTTGAAACAGACTGAACTTAAAATTTTTAGAAAATGAAAAAAAAAGCGGTAATAAATTTAACATAAGACACTGCATCTTAATTTTGTATGTATGTGTGTATGTGTAACAAAACATTTTGAAAATAAGAAAGAAAAAACTAAATAAAAAACAAATCAGATTTTTAAAGAATGCGTGTGCCTTTGAACATGAAAATAAAACTAGGAAGTAAAAAAGATAGTAATTTACTACAATACAACTAATTACAAATGAAAACATTCACACATATACAAAACAAGCAACGTTATTCTAAAAAGCATACTTAACTGTATAAAAAGGTCCATAATACATATGTAAATTGAAAATAGTTGACATTCGATTTTATATTAAGTCCTGGCCATTTTTTTTCAATAAGAAATTTGATGCAATAGTTTTAAAACTGAATCTAATCCATTATATATTGTTAAATGGATATGTAACAAAATAGTATTTCTTATTTTGCTATGTTTTCATTTGATATTTACAATAATACAACAAAATATTACCAATTCGAATTAATTAATTGGATAGTCTAAGACAAAAGCTTGATCAAGCTTATCTTAAACATTTCAATTGATAGAATGAAAAATTATCCATTATGGCTGCACTTAATATAAAGTGGTTGTTTTGCCAACATTAAATCAAAATTGCTAAAATGTACAAAAAGAATGCTAAGTCTACATATACTGAAAATATTTACACACAAGAAACACAGACCTAAATTTCGTACAACTGAAACTAATACAAATAATTAACGAAATGAATATATATTCCTAAATCTAAAAAGACAAAAAATATTTCTCATATTTTCTAAATTATTTATAAAATACAAATGACTATTTATATGTTATGCTATAAGTAAAAATAGTTGTAATATTTGTAAATACAGTATTTTTACACCGACAACAATGTAACAACAACAGCAACAAAATGAGTAAATAGATTACCCATATATTTAATATAAAAACTATTTTTTTAAAAGGATATTAAATTCATATACTGATGTATACACAATAATAAAACCTAAACGATTCAAACCCCAAAATTATTTTTAACTGAACGTTAACACTCTTTTACAGTTAACGTTAGTTTCATAAAATAAACACAAATAACTTAAAATTTCCATAAATTATTATTCAGCCTAGGGTTTACTATTTTGTTAAAAGTATAGTGTTGGCACTGTGTACAACGTTTTTGTTTGATAAAAATTGTATCCCCTTCCTAATTAATTTTCGTCAAATTGTTTATATGTAGAACGCTGGCAACGTTTGTTTAAGTGTACTGTGTGCATTTAAGATGTTGATTGGCGAGGTTTCAAACACTAAAAACGCGAACCTAACTGAAAAACGCGCTATAGGGTTATATAGTATAGTAAACTTATATTGAATATTTCTTCGTCTATATGGTCAAAAGATGAGTGTAAAGTAAACCAGAAACAAAACTAGTTTTAAACAAATAATATATTTTATATACATGCATAAAACTGAAACTGAATTATTGATGTCAAATAAAATTTATACTAAATGAATTTTATATAGTTTTAATTTGTGAATATTGTGTGGACAAACACATTAATCTTAAGGTAAGTAGCCGAAACTTAAATTGTTTTCAAAAGATAACTCTTTCCTAATAAAAAACAATATTTTCTTGGTGTTGCATACAGTCTATCAAAGAAGCACATTTTTATTTATTTTTGTTATTTCGATTAAAGTATACATCATTTATTTATGTTATCTGTCGTAATATATGCTTGCATATATTTATAAATTACCCGGCATATTTATTATTTCCCTCTTTTGTTGTTTTTTATGTTTGAATGTAATTAGTTATTTTGAATTGCTTTTATCATCCAGACACATATATTATCTTAATAAAATAAACATAGGGTTACAAAAAACCAAAAACTGTCAATGCAGCAATTAGAAAAATTGGAGTATAATATAATAGCTTATCATTAACAAAAAGCCTAAAGGTAAATACATATTTTAATAGGATACATTCGTGATAATTTTTGTAGTTCAGCGCTGTTGTAGATTCAGTCGCTCAAAATCCAGGTAAGTTAAAGACAAAAATTTGGGACAACAGTTTATACAATTTGATAGGGAAATAATCAAGTTCTTGTTGAAGCAATTATGGAGACAGTCAACAGTATATATGGCCTAACATAGTGAACACATGATTTTTAACTTAGTTGAATGATTTATCAAAAATTGTATAAATTTTTCAGAAAATAACCAACGATCAAAAGAATAAGGAGCACTTAACAAAATGTTTCAAAAAAAAGGATGGTCGAAGTTAAAGTCCAGTTTAAATAGATAATTTAAATACATTATATTCTGATAATATTAATTGTTTTAGGGTAATATCGAATTAATGACGTTTTCAATCTAAGGTCGCATGACACATCACTTTTACAATTGCGACCAGACCTATCGCTTCTGTTTGCTTATGCATTTGCAAAAACAGTTCTAGATATTTCGGCTAATGATAATTCTTATTTTATGCTTATATTAAATACACACTTTTGCGTGTTCCCAATCAATTCATAATATACAGCATTTGCATTCTAATTGTATGCTGTGTTCAGAACATTATTTGCCGTACTTAACTGACTACCTGTTCCACGATGTAAATCACTCCGACCGACAATGGTCTAATATTACAAACAAAAAGAAGAAAAAAAAAAAAAACAATAAGTCGTTTTTGCAGTTAACACAGGAAAAAATGAGTTTACAAATAACAGTATCAATAATAATATGCATATCGATCAAACAATACAAAAAGTTACACGCTTACTTTAAATATATATTAATAGGATACATTCATAATCATATTTTATATGGGCGTAGAATCTCTTCTCAATCAAAAGAACGTAAATTCATTGAACAAATTCTACAGGTCGACAAGAAAACATTACAGAAATTATAGAAATAAAGCACTTATGGGGCGACAGAAGCGTATGGTCTGTTATAACTTATTAGCTGTGTAAGTGTGTGTGGGTGTTTATGTGTATCTTGACCTTATATAGTGAACACATAGTTTTGAACTTTTTTCGTGGTTGTATTATATAAAAAAATTGTACTACGCCTCATCCGAAAACGTAAACATAGAAATGTAGACCGATAAGATACAGGAGCTGCAGATACTGAGGGAGTGCTTATGTCTGTGTGTACTCGCTACTACAAATTTTAGTTGTAGTTCACTGTTTGTTGTTTTTAGAGAAATTGTGTGAGGCCCAATTGAGTGACGTTTTCCATGAATTGGCTAAAGCATCACTGAATTTCGCTTGGAAATGTTTACGTGCATTTTCCTCCGTGTATTCCAGCACCTGTTTAAAAACACATTAGATACGTACGAGATATAAGGGACTTATACTTACCAAAGTCTCACGTAAATAGTTCAGGTCCTTCTCTGAGGATAGTTCCGGCAGTCCCGTTGAAATCATCATTGAGAATAGCGATAAAATAAGGCAACCATGTTTGCGTAATATTAAAAATGCCTAAATGGTAATTCAAAAATAATATCTTAAGTTTTTGATAACAATCTAATCTAATGCTGTATTTCAACTTACGCGCTCACACAACTCCTGGAAGTAGCAAAACTCCTTTGCCTCGCGGTCAATACAACCTTTGTTGATGACGTAAACAAAGTCGTGGGTAAGCACAAAGGGCACACGTTCGCGTCGCACTCCGAACTTCTCTTTAAAGTGACCCAAAATATGGCCGAAGTCAATATGGAAGAGCTATAAATGGTGAATCAGAATTATTGTTGTGTCCTGTAAAGTAAACTGATTCACTCACCTGTCCGTTACGCTTGACCATAATATTGTCTGAATGACGATCGGCGACGCCCAACACGTAAGTGGCAACGCAGTAGCCTGCACAGCTGAGCGTGAACTCGTTGATGGCTTTGTTAAGTTTCTCGGGCGCCTTATTGTGCTCCTTGAGCCAACTGTAGAGCGAACCCTTTTTAAAGGGTGATGTTGCCGAAAACATGCCCTTTAACTTCTGTATATTAGCTATTGTCTCTGCATGACGAACCACCTCAATCATGCCCAATCGTTGTTCCATGCTGATGCAGTTGTAGATATTCATTCGCAAATCCAAACTATAAGAAACAACTTTCGATTAGTAAAAACACCCTTAGATAGTTGCTAAGCTTAAATGAAAACGAACCCTTCACGTTTCCACAACTGATCCATGACACGTAACATTTGCAGTGTAAGCATGTCCTGGCGCAGATCATCGCCATTTTTAAATATGATATACACATCATTGGCCGTCTGATCCACGTTTTCGAATACTACCCAGAGCGGTCGCATTTTGCTATCCATGACCTTACATTTGTCGGGTGTGACTCGCCTGCATCTAAAGCTTGGGTTTAAAGGGTTTTGTATATTTTGGAAGACGCCGTTGTTGTGTTCGTTGCGGAGAAATTTTTGCAATTCGGTGCGTACTTTCTCCTTACTGCCCTTTTTGGCTAACACGGAGCCCACCCTTAATTTTTCTAACACCTCGAGTTGTTTTCGCAGTGGCTTCACATGCTGATTACAGCCTTTAAGGTAAGCTTCCAGAAGTAGACCAAACCGTGTCTGCATGCAGGGCGTATACATTTCGGACCGCAGATGCCAGAAAAAGTAATGCCCAATCCGTTGGTTCCGCAGAGCTCGTTCCAGCAAAAATATTACCAAATCGTTTACCAAATACGATTCGTGCTTTATTGCCTGTACCAGTTGTAATAAGTACAGCAACAGTTCCTCATCTCTGCAAAATATTATTAATATGTAAGAAACCTATATTCTACAGAGTCATAGAATACTCACTTGAGATTATGCAGACACTTGATGGCGAATCCACGCACTGCTGGATCTGGATAGGCATAGTCTAGCAATTCCAGTGAGCGTTCAATGGATATAAGCGGCCACATCTTGAGCAAATAACAAATATCAGACACATCATCGCGATCTTTCCAGTACACGCATTGCAACAATACAGACAAATCTTCTGGAAAATCGCGCAAAATGTCGTTTCTGCAAAATAAAATTCGTTTTTAGTTTTTTGACGATAAACGAATGAAAAACTTATCCCAACTTACTTATGCTCCCATATGGTATTGCGATCCTGATCAACCATTTCATAAATTTTGTCTTTGCCCGAATAATTCGCCAATAGGGCACCAAGCTCCTCTGTATTAAGCAGTTGTTTATCACGATTAGAGTACGCCCGTTCTGCTGCATATTGTAGAACTTCATCCTCGCTGGGATAACAGATAACTTCGTCGTTGCAATTTTCATTGGCGCCTTGGTGGAATGTCAGATGCACCATGGCACAACCGTCTATGCGTGGATTTGACTCGACAGTGCCCAGCGGATAAAACACATCATCCGACTGTATATCATCTGCATAGGTCCAAGTGTACAGTGTTTGACGTCCCTTACGCAACTGCCCTTTATAATCAAAAACCGTTGTATTGACCCAGGCCAATGGATTGTTGTTGTAAAAGTCGTCCTTGAGCGTGCTGGTATTATTAGACGATTTCTTCGAGCGCGACATTTTGGTCACCTCGAATACCACAATACACAGACGCGTCATTCGTGGCAGGTTGCGCATTTGAATATCAAATGTCATGACGTTTTCATCAAACTGAAAGTCCTGCGAATTGCCTTGGCTAGGCGCATCGACGGTGCGCTGCGAGCACAATTTGCGCTTTCCATGATAGAGGCCAACATGGACGCCAACTTTAAAGGCTCGAGCACGATCGAAGTTGACATTAGTGACGCCATGCATTGTTAATGTGAAGTTCACATTCTCCAAATTCCATATCACATTACTGGGCTCCAATGGGATTTGTGCGATTTGATTATTTGGATTTGGGGTCTTCTTTTGACTCAAACTTTTCTCATTGTAGTGATTGATGTAGCACTCGAGCCGCAGTACCGACTGCAGCACCACATTTGGCACGGCTGCATCGGAGAGCGTTTCTTGTATGTACAGGAATTGTATCAGCGGATGATCACCAAACAGATACTCATCACGGCCGCTCACTTTGAGTATATAGTCGGAGGCGCGATCGTTAATCTTCATCTGTGAACGGTTCATCTTCTGAAGCGTGCTTTCGATCAATGTGAGCGGGGTATCATGCTCCAGTACGGATAGTGTGAATGTGCTCTGATCATTCTCGTTCTTGACGGCAATCAAAAATGCTGAGCTTGGATGACGCTGTCGTATTAGTTCTGGCATGGCTGTCGAGTTGGCAAGCCGCAGTGGATGTTCGTAGAGCAATCGCTGTTGCCACGAATATCTCGATCGCTCCAATTTTATTTCATCGGACACTTCTGTCACCTTTGCGCGAAAATAATCTACCTCAGGAGAGCCTTGAGTGTTTTGACGATCGAACGATGTGCCAATAATGTTGTTAACCATTTTGGTTAGCTCATAGTCGCTGGAAAAGGTGGTCGTGTCGCTGCGCTCCCTAAGACTAAGCAAGCCAAAGTACGGCTGGACCTCGAACAGACGCTTCGTCTCGTCCGTATATGGTTCGATCGTATAGGTTGAGATGCCACATATTTGATAATCGCAGGCATCCTTAATCATATAGCTCAATGGTAGGTATCTAGCCTGTGCCAATATGTCCTCTTTTACCTCTCGAATGGTGGCCGTGGACTTGGCGTGCAAATATATCGTCGAACCATTAAAAACTAGGCATGTTAGATAGACAGTATCCGGCGGATCGTACTTCCAGAGATCAATTGAGAATTCGCTGAACATGTATGTTTCATTGGAGATATACAGTGTATCGCCCATGTCTGTTTTTTTCTTTTAAATATATATGTATTTGTTAAAAGTAATTTAATTTATATATAAGAGTAAAATACTCTATCTGGCTCTCTTTGTTGCACTCTTGATCGTTCGCTTGTCTTTTAATCGTTTCGCATGCAGTTTCGATTTTGTTGCGCCTTATTATCACAAGTTTTTCCTTTAATTTTTGTTGTTGTAACTTGCACACATTTTAGGTGCATATTGTTTTTGTTTCGTTTGAGCCTTTCCATTTAAGCGTTGGTCTTCTCTGTAGGGGAATAAAATCAAAAGGTGGCATTGAGTAATTGCAAAAGCAAACAGATGGAAATAAGTCGCCCACTTTGATAAGATGTGGCAATAGTTAAGACTTTCTAATGGAAAAGTTTGAATCGGTTTAAAATCGGTTCAATGCGGTATGCGCCGAATTCTTATATGGAATTTTATATACAATAGCAATTTAATGATATTAATCGTAAACTTAAGCATCAAATGATAGATTAATAAATTAAAATATTAAATTTGCAGTTAATAACGAAAGAAAGACTCGAAAAATTTAGAAATTTTAGTTAGCCGTATGGATTAAATAAAGCTCCAGAAGATTGACTTTATATTTAGTATGAATCATACATTATAACTACAAATATGCACAGCGGGGAAGTGTAGCGGCGGTGTCGGCGGCGTCAGCGGCAATGGCGAATAAGCAAAAATACGTAATCCAAATCGTATGACGAAGCTGGCATACTCTACGTGGTATAATGCTATAATTCATAACTACTATTGGCTAATTTTTAGTATTATCATTAATATAGTTAAGATTAAAACTCTAATTCCCGTTGAAGGCCAATGTTGTTGACCCCATATTTGCGCACTTTCATCATTGACGTGCCTAGGCACAACACAAAGCGGTTGTACTTCACACGAGTTAGGGTAAGTTATTAAGTTACGCGGCACGGCCTTTGGCATCGGAGTCTCATCTCTAAGTCGCGATGCTTAAATATTATTAGTGCATTGAAAAACAACAAAACGCAATTAATGTTTACAGCTGATTAATTTCTAATATATTTCAAACTTTTCCATTTGTTTTTACTGTTGTTTTTATTACCGAGTCTCTCTTTACACACACACATATATACACACACGCATATAAGCATGTACATATATATTTTTTGGGTGTGCGCTGCGCAAGCCTGCTTGTTGTGACCCGTCCGACAATGGCCGCGCGTTTATTAACACAAATTACTGATGCAGCGCAAACAACGCAATCAATACGTTAATAACTTATTTTTAAAACTTGTAATTCTTTTTATTTTGATGATTTCTTCTCTCCTTGTTTACTTGTTGAAAGAAGTAGTGCTGCATAGGGCCCTTTTTTTCAACGACGGCGAGCTGTACAATCGAAACGATAACGATAAACTTAACGAATGTACCATGGTTGTTTCAGCCCTGGTACAAAAGTAAATAAACAAAGTGAAAAGTTCGCAAATCAAACAGCGAAAAACTTGGTAAAAAAAATTGCGAAAAATGTGAAAATTTTCTTTTAGATAGTTTAAGTGACTTGCAGCGTGCTGTGCATCATACACTTGCTGAAATAAGACGCAAGACCTTTTATGTGCCTAGGCTATGGAACATAAAGATGACTCTGACGAGGGTAAGTAAAAGTCAATAAACTTGCATCGCCACAGGGTGGCTATCAACGCTATAAATGTCAAATAGGCGCGAAAACTATAATTTTAAATATAAATAAATGAAAATTTGATACACAGAGTGACAAATTTGCCAGATTTGGTTCCAGAATTCTCACTCGAGCTCTGCAATCGGATTGATACTTGATCCACGCACATACATATACATATGCGTAGTTGCATATGTATGTTTGTTTACATTGAGCAAAGTAAACAAATAAATGCACACCTGTCCACCTGTCTACCTAACCATGACCCATACCCAATGTGCAACAGTTGTTTGTGGGATTTGTGTGTCTTGCGCACTGTGTGCAACGACTTCAATGAATGAAATGTTGGCTGAACCGGACACCAGACGACGAGTCGCGACGTTGACGACAAATGAATCGATTTTCCAAGGCGACTGACAAGCCAATCGTTGGCTCAGTTACAGTTTGAACAGCTCCACGCACGGTCGCTCGATGGCTTAAGCATATAATTTATTATTTTATTCCTTTTGAAAGCTGGAGTCAGGTTATATAAGAATGTCTTGGAAGTTTATCGAAGGCCCTAAGCCTGGCACCGAAACAGCTTTGGATGCCTGCGACTATTTTGTCGATGAGGTCATTGAGAATTCAGGTGGAATGGGTGCGGCACATACCATGCAAAGCCATCGACCATATGGAGCCTTAATTATTCAATTTCCTTTGTGTCTTACAGATGCGCGCGAGGAGGTGCGTCAGATAAAGCATGGCGAGCTGCGTGCGGCGGTTAGCGCTGGAGATGAACGCACAGTGCGAGTCCTCCTCGAGGCTCTGGGGAGAGAGCGGCAGATTATTGTAAACGTGGCACCAGCCGGTGCCAATACTCTGCTTTATATGTAAGTTAAAATTGCAAGACATTACGATGAAAGTTATGTAAGGCAAGCGTGAACTATCAATCAACTACGCACGTGGAAGCCCCAGAATGGATTATATTTTACAGCGTGGCCTCTAATAATTCTCCCCACTACTTGCAGTGCCAGTCAATCAGGCTTTGAGAGCATCACACAACGATTGATTGACGCTGGTGCGGATGGACGGTCCCACGCGGTGACTAAGTATTCGCCTCTTTATGCAGCCGTGCACAATGGTCATTATGGCATAGCGAAGCTAATGCTGGAACGCTTTCCGGAGCTGATACAACAGGCAACTGTGGAGCGCTGGCTACCCTTGCATGCGGCCTGCATCAATGGGCATATCAAGATGCTGGAACTGATAATAAACTTCCCATATCCCGACTACCTCTATCAAACATATCGTGATGAAGAGGGGCAATGGGAGTGGCGCCTGCCCTTCGATGCGAATGCTCAAGATGTGACTGGGCAAACCAGTCTCTACATAGCCAGCTTGCTGGGAAACAAGCAATTGCTGAATGTGCTGCTCAAGTGGCAAATACGTTGTCGGCGTACCTTGAGTGACGATTCAGCCAGCTCGACAACGGGTCAGAGTACGCCCATAACACCGACGCGCAAGCGTATCTCGTTTGGAATACAGGCAATCATGTCTAAGCTGCATATTTCCGGCGAGGGCGAGACGCTCGAAGCTCAACCCACTCAGGAACAGGAGTCGCTGAGATGTCCACTCCATATCAATTTGCTGTGTGGGGCGGCACGTGAAACAGCGCTTCTAGCAGCAGTTCGCGGAGGGCACTTAGATGTGGCGCAAGCGTTGCTGCAACATGGCGCTAATCCAAACATTGTAGCAAAGCCCGTAGAGGATCACAATGATCCAAAGTGCAGCGAAGAGATCTATGGCCTAAGCAACATGCCCATCACCGAGGCATGCAAGCAACGCTCTCTGGCCATGCTGGATCTGTTACTAAAGTTCGGTGCACGCGATGATAATGGCACGGCGATAAGTGTGGCCATTGCCAGCGAGGATGAGGCGTTACTGAGTCGCTTGTTGGCTCGTCGCGTGCATCCTGACTCGGACTATAAGATTAATAAAAAAGGACTGCCCACACCAGTAGAAGTAAATGTGTTTCAACCCTCCGCCAGCAATATTTCGTATAGCGCCATGTTTCCTAACGTTCCTACGATCATTGACTGGCATAGCGTGAATATGAATGTGCAACTGCCCTTTGTGCGGATTGGCTGGCTGGTAAGTGGGGTGCTCCAATTGAATCCCAAGCTTAGTTCGCACCCCAGGCTGAACGAGGTAGCGCTAACAGCCATCACTCGAATTGATTTCTCACATAATATTTTAACCAGCATTCCGCCGGAGCTGTTTAACCTAGTTAGTCTCAAGTGAGTGTTTAATTGTAAACTGTTAAAGGAATTTAATTAACGATTTATATCATTTAGATATCTGAACATTGCGCAGAATAAGATCGCAGAGCTACCGGAACCCCTAGGCAAGGCGTACAACTGTCCCGTATTGGATGAGCTCTTTCTGCAGGATAATCAACTGACTACTCTCCCGGCAGCAATTTTCCAGTTGCCCGCTTTGACCATTTTGGATATTTCCAACAACAAGCTGCAGCAGTTGCCCTTCGACATGTGGCGTGCGCCCAAGCTGCGCGAGCTAAATGTAGCCTTCAATTTACTTCGCGAGCTACCCGTACCGCCAATGCAAACTAGCGGATCCCTGCTGAGCTTAGATAAGCTTCAGCTGCTGCAATCGTGCGATGAGGCGTCCTCCACTAAGCCGCATTCGTTGCTGCTGCAAAAAATCACGCATCGCAATCTCTGGTCTACAGCGCTGGACGTAACAGACAATGACCTGAAGTGGCAGCAGGAACAAGAGCAGGATCAGGAGCAGGCACAGGCCTTTGCAGATGGCAAAGTTCCACATGGTGTCTCACAGCTAAGCAGCCTAAACATTGCCAACAATTTGTTTACCAGCATTCCCGCTGCGTTGCCTTGTTTGGCGGTTAATTTGACCAGGCTGAACATGTCCTATAACAGTCTTCGCTCCATGGGTCATGTAACCAGCTACCCGGCCACATTGAAGCAGCTGGATTTGAGTCACAATGAAATTTCTTGTTGGCCCAGCTTGCCGCGTATTACGGAGTCCGATCCGCATCTGCTATGCTATAGTCATGTACAGCTGCCAGAGAACACAGATGAACCTGTCTATAAGGCTTCTAAGGGCAGCAGCTGTTCCTTCCGAGCTTCTGTACTGAAGAGCGTGTGTCGGCACAGGCGTCATTTACGGCTGGAGGCTCTGCGAACTCTTATTCTGGCAGATAACCTACTGACACGCATCCAACTATCCACAGATGATGCCACGACATTGTTCAATGAGAGCGAGGATGCCGATTGGAGTGTGGTTGGTATCAATAAGTCCAAAGTCATATTTCCCAACCTATCCATGCTGGACATGACCAATAACTGCCTGAAGGAAATACCCGCATCCTTGCACGAGCTGAGTAGCCTCTCTGTCCTGAATATCAGTGGGAATGTCCAGATTACCGATTTGCCACCTCATCTGGGTCTGCTCTCACGACTGTGGAATTTGAATACACGCGGCTGCCTGCTTCAGGAGCCGCTGCGTTCCATGCTCGAGAGCAAAAAGCACAAGACTATGGACATTATTGGTTATCTGAAATCTATCTATGAGGATGCACAGCCGTATGCGCGCATGAAGCTCATGGTGGTGGGGTCCTGTGGCATTGGCAAGACCACGCTTCTGGATCTGCTGCGTCAAGGCATAGGCAATAGTTCGGGTGGGTCCAGCTCGCATCGGTCGCGTGCCAATGAGAATCATTGGGCCAAGCGCATGGGTCACTCGCGCAGCACGTCGCGCTCCCAGCGCCAGGCAAACATCTCAACAGTGGGCGTGGACATTGGCACATGGATATGTGAGAAGCGGAAGCGTGCAACTGGATGTCAAGCGATTGTGTTTCGCACTTGGGACTTTGGTGGCCAGAAGGAATACTATGCGACACATCAATACTTTCTGTCCAAGCGTAGTCTCTATTTGGTGCTCTGGCGCATTAGTGATGGCCACAAGGGCTTAGCAGAGCTGCTGCAATGGCTGGGGAATATTCAGGCACGTGCTCCAAATTCACCAGTGCTCATCGTGGGCACGCATTTTGATGCGGTAGGGGAATCGATCTCTGCACAGCAGGCCGAGCAACTGCAGCAGCTGATACGGGAGAAGTTTATAGCTATACCAGATGCGGAGAAGATTGGACTGCCACGCGTTATTGACTCTATTGAAATTAGCTGCCGGTAGGTCGGAAAGAAACCAAATCATATACAATCTATTATATTAAAACGTCTATTCTACAGCACTCTACACAACATCCATTTGCTGGCCAACATCATCTATGACACGGCCATGCAGTTACGCTCCCCGGGCTCCAAGGAACCGATGCTGCTGCAGAAGATACCCGCCAGCTATATCGCCTTAGAGGATATTGTCAATGTTATCGCTTGTAGTCTACGTGCTGCAGGCCGCGATCCCGTACTGGATGCGGAGCAATATCGATCTATGGTCACCGAGAAAATGCGTCTGCATAACTATAAGAGTTTTCGTGATGCCGCTGAGCTGCAGCAGGCAACAACCTGGTGCCACGACAATGGCATTCTTTTGCATTACGATGATGCGACTCTCAGGGATTACTACTTCCTCGATCCCCAATGGCTATGCGATATGCTGGCGCATGTTGTTACCGTGCGTGAGATCAATCCGTTTGCGCCCACTGGCGTCATGAAACTAGACGATCTGCAGCTGCTCTTCCGAAGTGTGCATGCGCAGAGCAACGGAAATAGAAGGTGAGTCGATTTGCCTACTCATTTAGTTACTGTTATTAACCATTCTTGTGTCGTTTTCCAGCTATATAGTCAGTTTACTGAACAAGTTTGAGGTGGCACTTACTTGGGATTCACGAACGTTATTGATTCCTTCATTGCTGCCGGTGCAGGAGGCAGCTGTGTATAACGAAGGCACAACGGTTAAATTGCTACAGCGTGTGCGTGGTCGAAATGTTGGGTGCTCCGTCTCACAGGAGCTGAATCTCAATAAGCTCATCTATGAGCCGCGTCCCTCGACTTCTTCTGCTTCTATGAGTTGCCAAGGATTGCGTCGTATGTTGCTCATGACTTACTTTCCTTCCGGTTTCTGGTCACGCTTGATTACACGCGTCTTGGCTGATGAGCAAATTATTGAGGCCATACGTGGAGTCTATGTTGTCTCGCAGGATGTAAGTAACCCCAATTATATTTGGCTTAACATATTCTAATGCTTGATGTATATTAGAAATATCTTGACTTTGATTTGCGCGGATCGCTGGAGCAGGATACACAGTGGAACCTATGGCAGACGGGTTTAGCTCTATATTATGGACCCATTTTAATCTTTCGAATTTGGGAAGTACCCTTCCAAAACAACGAGCGAACACAGCCTTTTCGTACAACTAGTAATCGCTTCAAACTCAAGCTGGATGGTATTTGGAGTGATGTGAATCTAAGTTCCTCCAGCATTTTGGAAGTTTTCTTTCCGCTGCATAATGTGAGCATTTATCAAGAACTCGAAGCGGGCAATAGACAGCTACTGGCTGAGCTGCAGCCGCATATGTCGCACGTTGCCAAGCTACTGGCCTTGGTTGTGGATCATATTGATCTGTTGCTAGAGGATTGGTACCCAGCACTGGGTACACGCTTTGTGCATACCTCTGAGGGCCGTTTCCTGATAACACGTCTTGTGCTCTGCCCACGTTGCTTACGCAAGCTGCAGCTGCAGAATGGTGCAGAGCCCGGGGAAAAGGAGCCCAGTCTGCCAAATAGCAGCAGACCTAGTCGTAGCAGTAAACGGGGCACATACTTTCTGCATGGCGTCGGTGATCCTGGAGACGATGGAGCATTAAATGTGTTCTCTGCTTATTTGAATGCAACTGCAAGCCGAGAGAGACGCTCAGCTGACTCGCTGGGTGCTGGATCGGACGCAGACTCGGGTGTAGGACCCGACTCGGCTTTCTCTTCTCGTAACACCTCTATAGATGGTCATCCGACCTATGCATCGCATCATCTGCCGGATAACTCGAACGTCTGCTATGCCTGGATGGTTGAGGAGTGCATATTGTCTGTGTACAATCAGATCAAACTCAGTTGCCCGGTTCATCTGGAACAGTCAATGGCTCAACTGGCGCCGGATGTGATATTTGCAGATATACCCGACAAGCACACGATTGCCACGGAGTGCATCGTCAAAGGCTCGCTGCTGGGACGTGGCGCCTTTGGCTTTGTGTTTAAAGCAAGCTGTAAGTTACGTGGAACTCGGGTTTTCCGGCCGGTAGCAATGAAAATGCTTCAGCCAGTGCAGCCAGGTGCGCGAGCCAAGGAGGTGAGTTCAGACTAAAATTAAATAGTTCAAAGATATTATATCTTGTCTACTTTGCATAGAGTGCTTTGATGGCCTACAAGGTCGCACTGGGCAAATGGGATCGAGATCCGCTGCAGCATTCCTGCAAGGCCTACTGCACAGCCAGGCAGGAGCTAGCCGTTCTACTCACTTTGAAGCATCCGAATATTGTTCCACTGGTTGGAATTTGCATTAAACCCTTGGCTTTAGTGCTGGAACTAGCGCCATTGGGTGGCCTCGATGCTCTGCTGCGCCAGTATAGACGAAGTGGCGCACATATTGGTCCACATACATTCCAAATGTTAGTGCTGCAAGCTGCACGCGCAATCGAGTATCTGCATCGCAGGCGGATTATATATCGGGATCTCAAATCTGAAAATGTGCTCGTCTGGGAGCTGCCCCAGCCTCACACTGAGGATAGTCCACGCAACCAGGTGCACATCAAGATTGCGGATTATGGGATAAGTCGTCAGACAGCGGCTGGTCTGAGTGCCAAGGGTTTCGGCGGCACGGAAGGATTTATGGCGCCCGAGATAATACGATTTAATGGCGAGGAGGAATATACCGAAAAGGTAATTCGTAATAAATAAATGATTTGCATCTCCGCTCACATTTTATTTTCCCTCTAGGTGGACTGCTTTTCCTTTGGAATGTTCATCTATGAGAACATCACCCTGCGCCAACCCTTTGAGGGCCATGAATCCATCAAGGAGTGCATATTGGAGGGCAGTCGTCCGGCTCTAACACATCGTGAGACACAGTTTCCCACTTGTTGTCTAGATCTAATGGTGCTCTGCTGGCACGAGCAGCCGCGTCGACGACCATCAGCTAGTCAGATAGTTTCAATACTGAGGTAACTTTTGTTGACAACTTTTACTTTTGATTATAATCTTACAATCAAGTTCACCTTTTAGTGCACCTGAATGCATCCATTTGCTGGATGTGGTAGCTTTGCCGCATAACGACAAGATTGTCTGCGGCGTATTCCAATTAATATTGACTGGCATTGACGAGGAGCGTTCCGGCCTCGAGCTGTGGCTGCCTGCCTTTGGCTCACACATTGATATACTAGACGTGGCGCCAACTGGCAGTGTGCTGCAGTGCAGCAGCATTAGCTGTGCTCCACAGCCACAAGTGGTACCGCCCAAAACGCCCGAAAACAGCGCAACTTCACGAGCACGCTCCGCACAGCGTATGCCAAAAGTGAATATGCTGTGCTGCTGCCTGGTGGGTGAGGCCATTTGGATGGGCGATGTTTCGGGCAACTTACACGCCTATAGCACATCGAGCTATGCACATCTGTTCTCCTACATGCTTGATCCTGCCATCAAGTCAGCTGTGATAAGTTTAGTGTATATGGAGGGTATCGCGCGAGTCGCAGTGGGCTTGCAAAATGGTCGCGTCTTCCTGGTGGATGCCTGTCGCATGCCCACTAATTGTGCCTTTGCCGAGGGCTCATTTGTACTAACTGAGATCTGTTCCGGATTTGTGCTTCATGCCGCTTGCTCCGTGCTAATCGAAGGGTGAGTATGCTATAAATCTGTGAGAAACTCGAATAATCTTATGGGATCTCTGCAGCGTCTATGAGCTCTGGTGTGGTGAGTTAGCTGGCAAAATCAACGTGTTTCCAGTTAATGAATCTGGGGTGTGTGGTCATCAGGCCTTGTGTCACAGCGATGAGCCGAATCTCATTGAGGACGTTAAAGTGACGCGTCTTTGTAGCAACGAGAGCCACGTCTTCAGTTGCTTATATCCCGGTTGCATGGTGTACCAGTGGGGAGCCGTCTCGAAGCGCATTGAAAACAAATTGGATTGCTCTAAGCTACTGCCTTGCTCTGAGTCTCTTCAGAGCATTGCCATTGATGAGCACGTAAACCTAATCAAATGTCAAATCTCAGCGCTGGCGGCCCACAATACAGAGCTGTACATCGGCACCACCTGGGGTTGTCTCATTGTAGCTGAGTTGCTTACGTTGCGTCCCATTAGCGTATTTCGTCCATATGAGAATGAGGTAAAGAATTTGGTATATATATCTTGTTGGTAATTATGGTTATTTATGTGTAAATCCATTGCAGATCAAGGCTATAATCACCATGCCGAATGCCGGCATTCCACTAATAGCTACGCTCGGACGGCGCTATCGCTCGCTGATTTCACGTTATGTGGACATGGGCGAGTCCACGTCGAATAATTCTAGTTCAGTAGCAAGCACGCCTACGCACGGTGCGGGTAAACCCATGCCCATAGCAGATCTAGATAACCACATACATTGCTTGCTTTGGCGAGCCAAGAACTGGACCTAAGTCCGATCTCAACTATGTACTAGGTACAATATTTATTAATAGATGGCATAATATTCTAAAAAATACTTTAAAATTCATTGAAAAATCTCTCTGTTTCTCATAATATTTTTTGGTGCATAGGCAAATCAACTACGTTTATTGCACAGAACAATTAGTATTAACAGTTAAGCTATATGCAGTTGCTTTAATAGGCATTTGAACTTGGAAAAGTGTTTTTCAAATTATTTCAAGCATTCCATTTAAATTAAAAAAGTTTTTAATAAAGCTAACGATGACCAATTTAATGGTATCATTACTGTCCTATTGAACCCACTGACATAGAAGACTGACGACTGCGTGAGTAAATCGAATCCGAGCTCTTGAGCACGCGTACATAGTTATTGAAGTCAATTAAAAACCGAAACTCTTCCAAGAAGGCCTCCTTGAACGGCACCTGAAATCAAACGAAGTATTTGAATTGAATTCTTGGCTTTAATTATGTTGTGTTAACCTTAAAGTGCCGCGCCTTTTTGACGATGAACAGCACCCAGCTGACAGCCCCATAGAGCAACGCACAACATGAACCCACGAGCAGCACGAAGAAAACGCCTTCCAAATTATCCATGGCCAGAGCTGTAGCCTCTGGTGCTTCTTCCTTGGTGGCGCAAATACCAGAGCCAACTTCATTCCACCATTTGTTTTTCATCTTCTCCAGCACGCCCTGCTCCTGCAGCTGCAGCAGAGCATTATTCAATTTATCACGATGGGGCCAATCTGGAGGACAATAGTTTAAGTGCTTATGTCTAATGATGATATGTTTTATATTACTTTTCCGCATGGCTATGCCATAGCCTTTCTCGTCCAGAGCATCGCCAATTTTCTTCAGATTACATTCACGTTTTGTGTTGTACTCAATGGATGTTGATTCCATGAGAAACGCGTATTGAGTGCTAACTTTAACGCGGTCCACACCCTCCTGATTGGTCTCTGTTAGATACTCGGGATGCTCAGTCATAAATTTATTCATTTTTATGTAGCGTTCATCCTCAGAGTTCTGTCAAAGTATTATTAAGGTAGTTCCTAGTGGCATGAAAAAATTGTATGACTTACCAAGAAGAAATTCCTAGTTGATCCCGTTCGCTTGGCTCCATAGACAACGCCATCTTTGTTATCCGCCAAATCATCCACGCTGTTGATTAAACTTTGTGGTTTTTCAATAGTCAAGAAAGCAGCCAGATTAGCTGTATAGGAGGACACGACAATCAACGTGAAGAACCACCAAAAACTAGCCACAGTGCGTGTGGATAAGGCTCTGTTGAAAAATAAAATGCAATATAATTTTCTGAAATGTTGACTACGACAACTCACTTGGGTCCTATTTCGGAGCCTTGCTGTAGCAGAGCACCAGTTGTAAACCAAATAGAGTTGCCTATTGTAAACTGATTCTCCAACTCTTCTGGCTCTTCAATGCACGGATATGGGTTATCCCATTCACTGGGCGACAGACGGCCAAGTATGAAGAAGCTTAACGAAACGCCCAAAAAGGACAGTCCGAGAAACCACCAAACCTCCTCCGAAAATGGATCCATGAAGGTGAAAAGTTCCGGCTGGGCTTTCTGAGGCTTCAAAAACAGTATAGCGATGCCTAAAATTTAAATATATGTAAATAAGAGGTCGTGATTTCAAGAATATAATCACTTGCCAAGATTCATAAACGGTATACTAAATTCAATGGCCTCCTGACGCTCCGATGTTATAGTCAGATCGGTAACTGCCAAATCGGCGTGCTATGATGAAATGCTGATTTAGATAATAATATTTCACTTGAAGTAAAGATAGCTTACTCCATGCATTATCTCTCTTAGCATGCCCGTGGATTCGTTCGAAGTTTTGTTGTATGAGCCGTAGTCATTGCCTCCATTCTTAAATGTAAAGTTGAATCCAAGTTTGTCAGCCAGTTCCATGATCAGGTCTACACCATATCCTTCATATTGACTGTTGCCCTCAAGCTGCTTGTAGCTCTCCACCAAGCTGGCGTAAGGTTTGTTCTGTTTGAAACAAATTTACTTTCAACTTCAGCTGTGCCCTTTTAGTTTCCTCTCTTACCGGCACTGAAAGCAGTATGATGAAAGTCTTGTTTGCCAGAGAATTATCAATATTATCGAATTGAGAGTTGGTCGCCGCCAAGCGCTCTGGTCTGAAGTCACGCTCCTCGCTCCAAGTGCCCACTTTGACTATTCCGGAGGGCTGTAGCTCAATTACGTCCAAATGATATCCTTTGCGTACGTTGCCCTCAAAGTAAATAGGTCCGGTGAGCAATCGGTCTTTAAGACGCAGCTAATGGATCGTAGAACACTTAGCATAAGTCAAATATTTAATTTGATTCAATTATACTACCGTTCTCATATAGTTCTTGAAAGAGGAACCATCGTCTCGCACACTTTCTGTGCGTTGTGAGCAATTCTGGGAGACCGGTTTAAAGGGCAGATTCTTTAAAGTTTCAGCAAACAATTGCACTGCATCATATGTGAGAGCCATTTCTACGGTAATGGGACAGGAGCCTATAAAGAACTAAATGAGAGTCGGTGCCGTAATATCAAGGTATCTTATTTACCATTCCGAAAGTCATCTTGTGCGCTCGTATAGCCCATTTTCTCCATAAGCTCCTTGACCACCATTTTTTCCGAGGAAAACATTCGAAAACTTGTTATGTTGGCCTCACTGTATTTGTACTCCTCCAAATCGAATGAGTGGAAGTCTAAATTGCCAATGATATAACTGTAGTCCTCATTGATAATGCCAACTTGTTGTGCCTGGGATGGAAAAGGTCACAGATGTATTTATTAAATAGTTTCATATACGATTTGTAGATCCCACTTGATTTAGAAACTCTGGCACTGTATCTGTGGATCCCACAACTACAATCCGATTGTCTTTGGACTTGCGTACGCGCCTTAACACCGGCTTGTAATTCCCATTCAGCTGCATGTCATAGCGTAAAACTGTGACGATTGGCCCATTCATGCCGAAGAGGGAGTTGAGCTCATTCAGAATACTCAGATATTCAGCTACGACGAAACATACATATCAGATTATGGCATAGCATGACAAGAATAGTTAACATACCCGACTCATAAAGAAATATAAAACGCGACCACTCGAATGCAGTGATAAGGCTATAGAGAGCCTTCGATAGGTCAGCAGGATGGGGATGCAAATTAAAGCCCTCGGAATTTTCGCTCATATAAGAGTATATATGGGGTATATCCATGGCATCGCATATGGACATCAGGTGCAAGGCTGTGTGTCGTGACGAAGGTCCAAAGACACCTGCTATACCCGTCTGCAGAGAGCGTTTGAATCAAATTGTTTATATTTATTCAAACAACAACAAAGATTAAGACCCACCTCCAGCATGCGACACAGCTTACCGTAACTGTGGTAAGCATCGCCGTAGTTCACCTCCGCTTTTAGGGATGTCATAGCTAGGCCCAGCTCTTCATTAGCTACATCGATTGCATGATCAAATACAATATTCATTTCATCCGTATTTTGATCAGTGAGCAAACCTGACAATTGAAAATTAAATGTTATTTAAGCAAATGTAAAATCATTCAAGAGGGGTAAGAGGCATTTCTGCAAGCTACATAGAACTACAAATATTTTGTTGTTAATTTTTTGGGTAGCTCCTAGTCGGGCATACTCGAACAGAGAGAGCGATCTTATAGAATTTGTAATCATATTAATAAAACGCAAGGTTTGCCGGTTTGTTTATAAACAAAAACTTGAACTTAATGCAGTCTATATTCAGATATTCAGAGTACATTTAGACGCTGCCACGATTTCTTGCAAAACAAAATAAACAAATACTTAAAAGCATTTTATGAGCTTTCGGCGTTGATGGAACGAACAGCATGTTCTCTTAACGAGACATTAAAAATAAATCAGGCGAACGGCGACCGCAATTTTCATTGCTAGAAAAACTTACCAATCGGAATGCTGGCCGCGTTTTGGAAGCTATCATATCCGCCATAATGATCGTATTGGGCATTAAGAATCGGAATTCTTGATGTGATTATTGAAAAATATATTAAAATATTAATCATAAACATTGTTTATGGATGAAATAACTAAGCTTTTTACTCTATATACATAATACAATATTGGGCAGAGAAATATACTACAGCTTTAGACTTTATGTTCTGCACGCAGTGAGCGAAAGTTGACGACTGAATGAGCATTTCCAAAATATGCATTTGGAAAACGTTTTGAGTAAAAGTTTTCAAAAGCTTTGAGTTAAAAAAGTTTATTGAAGCATTTTTATGATAATATCAAGTGAGACAATTTACAAAATTATTAAGTATATATATTTTTTGTCAAAATTTTAGTCTCCATCGGGTAGATTATTCTCCGAATCAGTTTCCAGAGAGTCTATGGACTGTGAGGAATTGCGACTGCGTGAATAGACCGACTGGGCGCTCTTCAGAGCGCGTTCATTTTCCGCAAAACTGACAACAATCTTAAACTCCTCAGCAAGCGCATCGCAGAAGGGCACCTTTAAATAGTAAGAGGAGTAGAGTAGAGCAGAGTAGTAGAGAAGCATCTAACTTACCTCATAGAACTTGGCTTTCTTGAAGACAAACAAACACCAGTAGAAAAAGGAGATGATAAAGGAAAACAATGAACCAACGATTAGCACAGCGTAAATGCCACTTAAATTTTTCATGCCCAATGCAGAAGAGCCCTCGTCGTCGCTCTTGTCCTGCATTAAATGATAAAATTATTACACATAATCGAAAGAGTGCTTAACCATTGAAAACTTACGCTGCAAACACCGGCACCTATTTCATTCCACCATTTGTTCTTTAGCCTAGCCAGGACTCCCTGTTCCTGCAGCTCGAGCAGCGCATTGTTGAATTTATCGCGATACGGCCAGTCTAGGTAGCAGTATTTCAGTTTACTTTCAGTTTAAGATCAAGCTCGAATCCTTACTCACTCTTAGGCATTGCAATGCCATAACCCTTCTCATCCAGCGCTTCGCCAATCTTTTTCAGACTACATTCCCTCACCGTATTATACTCTATAGACGTTGACTCCATGAGAAAAGCATATTTTGTGCCCGCCTTGACTTTATCGACGCCAGCTTGATTTGTTTCAGTAAGCATCTCTGGATGATTGGTCATGTAGGTATTCATTTTCATGTAGATCGGGTCTTCGGACGTCTGAATTAGGGATAATAAGCATTGAGTACAGTTACGCTCTCCGACTTGCTACTTACCAAGAAAAAGTTTCTCGTTGAGCCGGTACGTTTTGCACCGTATTGAACGTCATCTTTGTTCTCTGCCAGATCTTCAACGCTGTTAATTGAGCTGGACGGGTTTTCTATGGTCAGAAACGCAGCCAAGTTCGCAGTGTATGACGATACCATGATCAGCGTGAAGAACCACCAAATAGCTGATATAGTACGTGTGCTCAGGGCTCTGCGATATGGAAAAGTGATTAATACAAATTAATTTTTACATTTTATGGTAATACTTGGGCGCGATCTCAGAGCCCTGTTGGAGCAACGCTCCTGTGGTGAACCACAGTGAATTATTTATGGTAAATTGATTCTCTAGTTCTTCCGGCTCTTCGATACAGGGATACGGATTATCCCATTCTGAAGGTGAGAGACGGCCCAGCACAAACAGACACAGTGAGACTCCTAAATACGCAATGCCCAGGTACAGCCAAACCTCCTTTGAAAATGGGTCCATGAATGAAAAGATCTCAGGCTCGGCCTTTTGCGGTTTTATATATAAAATGGCAATACCTTAACAGCAATAAAGTATTAATTAAAATCATTTTAAAGCATTATCTTCAATATGGCTTACCTAGGTTCATAAATGGTATGGAGAAGTCAATGGCTTCCTCTCTTTCTGAAGTGATAGTCAAATCAGTGATGGCCAGGTCTGCATGCTATTGGAGATTGTCGATTCATATATATATATATAGTTAATCACATAGTTAATACTACTTACGCCCTCAACAATTTCCTTGAGCATTCCTGTTGTCATGTTTGTGCTCTTATTGAAGGAGCCATAATCATTGCCACCATTGTGAAAGGTAAAGTTGAAGCCAAGTTTGTCAGCCAGCTCCTTAATCAGATCTACGCCATAGCCCTCGTACTGATCATTGCCAATCAGAGTATTAATGCTTTCCACCAGACTAGCATAGGGTTTGTTCTGAATATGGCAAAATGTTAAGCAGGGAGCCATATGCATATGAGGTTTAACTTACCGGGACAGAGATAAGCACTTTAAATGTTTTATTCACTAAGGTATTTTCCTCGTTCTCATTCAGATCTATTATCGGTGGTGGCCGCTTAAATTCAAAGTCTTTGCCCTCCTCCCAGGTGCCGATCTTCACCAGACCCACGGGCTGCAGCTCGATCACATCGAAGCTGAATTTCTTACGCATATTGCCTTGAAAAAATATTCGTCCCGTAATGGTTTTGTCCAAAATGTCCAACTGTAAAGCATGAAGATGAATATATAAATACTTCGAATTTCTTAAAACACTTTTACCGATCTCATATAGTTCTTGAATGTGGAGCCATCTGGCTGAACGTTATCATGGCGCTCAGAGCAATTCAGCTGCTGCGGCTGGTAGGGCAGAAAGTTGGTTGTTTCGGCAATGACTCGCACTGCATCATAGGTTAGGGCCATGGCCAACGTTATGGTGGAAGAACCTGCAATCATTGAATTAAGTAAGGGGGAATGGGGGAGAATTGATACTCAGCTCTTACCATTGTTCATGGGCTCACTTTCGCCTATCTCGTGTTGCAGTGTTTCGACTAAGTCACGCACCTCTTTCTTATCCGGGTCAAACATGCGTATGCCGGTTATATTTGCCTCGCTGTATTTGTACTCCTCCAGCTCGTAGGTGTGCAGATCAAGATTTCCCACCAAATATGTGTAGTCCTCATTCATGATGCCCACTTGCTGAGCCTGTCGCAGCAGCTCGGCCACGCCCTCCGTTGAGCCAACAACCACGATGCGGCTATCCTGCGATTTGCGGATGCGCCGCAGAACCGCCTTGTAGTTGCCATTGAGATTGAGATCGTAGCGCATCACTTTGATGACTGGTCCCTTGGTGCCATACAATGTCATTAGGTGATCCAGTATGGTGAGGTATTCCGCTGCAAGCAGTAACAAATTATCAGACATATTCCGATCGAAGGGGCATTTGCCATACAGGACTCGTAGCAGAAAATAAAGCGTGACCACTCGAACTGTGTGATGATGTCGAAGAGCGCATGGGCAATGTCCTCCGGATGCGGATGCAGGTTAAAGCCATCGGTCTGTGGACTCCACGACAGGTGCGGATATATGAAGGGCACATCCTTGGCATCGCAGGCATTCAGTAGATGGGCAGCAGTATGCCTGGCAGCAGGTCCAAATACGGCGCCCACCCCATTCTATCGCATGGTAACGATTTTAATTAACATTCAGCAATTCGTGTTTACGCATTTCTCACCTGCATTAGTCTGCATAGTTGCTCAAAAGCATGCACAGAGTTCCCATAAGCCACTTGCTCCGTTTCACCCACCAGCGGGACGCTCAGGTCGCTGTTAACCACGGCAATGGCATGCTCGAACGTTTGGCGTATTCTGTCCGTGCTATCGTCAGTGATTAGACCTGCGCGCCGTTGATTGAGTCAAAGAGCGGTGAGTATGCGAGAGTGTTTGAGTGGAATGTCTGCTCAGTTCTCTGTTGGCTTACCAATGCGTATGGCCTGTCTATTGGAAATTGCATAGGGATTGCTGCCGTAGCCATGGACCGCACGTGACCACAGAAGTACCACAACAGCCAACCAAAAATGCATTTAATCTACTTCTATTTGTTAATTTTGAATATTTTATTTTTTAATCAGTAAGTGTTCTGTGTCTATTTTTGATACTTTTCTCTGTTCTCTATATATATATTTTTGGACGACCAACTCAGACGGCGTTCCGTCCCCTCTGAAGACACTGCTACAACTGAAGAGGAATATATTAGAAAATATGCTCAAAAGTTTTCCAAAATATTTGTTTTGTATGAAGCTTGAAAGCTGCAAAGTTTTGGAACTGTTGCCAGTGTTGCGTAGTCCCCATATACAAATATATCAGAATGGATTGAAAATAATATTTCTTGATTCGTTTGTGCACATTTCGCTATTGTTAATATTTTATTAGAATTATCACAAACATAAATAGTTTCAACTAAATTATTGCAATTTAAAAATATAGTTAGTTAAATACTATAATATTTATATATAAAATAAAATCGTAAAGTATATCATACTTTATTTTAATTTTTTTTCTTTTTGGCACACTTCGGCTTTAATATCTTTGGTTGAATACACTTGCGAATATATCCTGGTAGTTTTAGTTTAATGGCAAGTCAGGCTTGGGATAAATCCGAAAATCAGCGCCATCTGTAAAGTTTAAAAGGCTTAAAGATAACAAAACTAATATTGAGTTTTAATTTACAAATTTTTACAAATTAATTAAGTCATAAATTCACAACTCTAACTTCAATTTTTCTCGAAATAATTTCTAAAATTTATGTGTTGGCTTGCTAATTGGAAAGACAATTGAAGAAGTTCACCACAGCAAGAAGGAGAGCAACAACCGCATAGGGAGGCCATTAAAAGCAATCCAACTAGTGGGCATAAATCACCATTAATTAAGGGAATGTAAATTGTGGCGCAACGGGACCAACTGAAGTGCGACGTTGTTGATGACAGCACCACAACAAGCCCATCTTCAATGCGATAAATGACAGTTGAGAGGAAGCTGGCGAACATCATGGGGCTCCGAAAGTGGAGCGATTCTGAGTGTGATGTGTCAGCATTGGAATGCCTAGTGCTAAGTGGTTTTATTAGTTGATATAATACTTACAATTAGCGTTAGATCCAACTGGCGTGTGCTGGTTGGTTTAGGAATGGATCGTTTGTAATACTCTTAGGCTATAGGAAACAATGGGCTGCGGCTACCACACACTGCACTTCTTTTGGGGATTCATGGGCGTGCCAGCCGCGCAGTTGAACTCGCGTGCAAAGTCGTATGAGTTGGAGAGGGTGCCGATGACACGATAGCGTCCAGGGCTATGTATGGCTGTATTCAGCTTGTTGCGTATCGCCTCCGGTCGCATGGCGCCGCACCACACCTGGCCGAAATTCAAGAAGAATAGCTGCGGTCCGGTCATATTCAGTCCCGGCAACATCTCATCTTTGGCCTCGTTTGGGTTTTCATTTAACCAACGCATGTAAGCGTGAAAAGCTTGCCGCAGTCCTCCATTGTCCGCAATATTCTCGCCTGAGGGGCAGATGACTGATGAGCCATGCAATTAATTGGATTACAGGATTTGTGGCCTACCTTGCGTGCTCTCGCCATTGAGAGCTATGCCCACCTCCTCGACCGTATAATTGCCGTACTGTGAAATGATACAGCGGGCGCGGTCGTCAAAGCCGCGAATGGACGAGTCCGTCCACCACTTGTGTATGTTGCCATTGCTATCGAAGAGCCGGCCTTTATCGTCAAAGCCGTGGGTCAGCTCATGCCCAATGACCACTCCGATGCCGCCAAAGTTCAGAGATTTGGGAAAATAACGATGATAGAAGGGCGGCTGCAGTATGCCAGCGGGAAACATGATCTGATTCTTGTTGCGGCTATAGTAGGCATTAACAATAGCCGGTGCCGTCTGCCAGTTGGTTTTGTTGACACGCTCGTGCAGCTTGGCCTGCTCCATCTTGGCCGTGTGCAGCAGCACATTGAGCGTGTTCTCAAAGTATTTGTCTGGATGTATATCGATGCCAGCGTACTTCTCGTTCAGCTCCTCGGCATTAAGTATGAAGTCCGGATAGCCAATCTTGAGGGACATTGCATTCACCTTCTCCTCGGCCAACAGCTTAGTGGTCTGATCTAGCCAGTCTGTGGTCTTCAGTATGTCCCGGAATGCCTGCTGCAGCTCGTGGGTCATGCGCATCGTGTCCCTCTTGCTGTTGTCATCGAAGTACCGACTCACAAACATCGAGCCTACGGCCATGCCCATATTCGTGTTCACCTGCGCTATGCACACCTTCCACCGCTGCGGACTCTCTTCGCGTCCGAAGAGCGCATGGTAGAAGCTCTGTTTGATGTCATCGAAGCGATCGTCAACATTGTTGATGCGATGCCGAACGAACCGCCACATCATATAGTTGGCCACTGTGCGGGGCTCCGTAACGGCAAGCAGTGCCACCAGCTGCTTCATGTACTCCACCGCATAGATGACCACCTGCTCCGTCTCGTTGACGTTGCGTCCCTGAAGCGTACTCAAGTACATAGTCCAGTCAATCTGTGGCACCGTCGCCTTCAGTTGCTGCAGCGTCATCCGTTTGTAGAGCTGTGCATGTAAAAAGTTATAGTATTATTGATAATAGGGAACAGTTTAATGAAGTATATCTCATTCTACTGTGATTTATCACCACTTACCTTGGTTACATTGAGTCTTTGCTCCGCTGGAGCTGTAATCGCTGCCAGCCTTGTCTCGAAGGCAATCAGTTCGGTGGCCGTATGAGCTGCATCCGCCTTGCTGGCGCCCAGCTTGTGCATCACCTCGGACATGTAGCGCTGGTAGGCAGTCAAATACTTGGCGTTGCTCTGCTGTAGAAAGTATTCGCGTGTGGGCAGACCCAGCCCGGTTTGATCGAACTGTATGATATTCTCCTCAGAGTTCTTGATATCAGCGCCCACCCACTGGACGATCAGAATGTCGTTGTTGTACCGACGCAGCGTGGCGGCTAGCTGCTGCCAGTTGAAGTGGGTGCTACGCCAATCCGGGTCAAGCACTGGCCAGCCGCCCAGCTGCCGAATGAGCGCGTGCAGCGGCTCCAGGCCGCGACGATTGAGCAGCTCGCTGTTCACGCATGACTTGTACAGATTCTTTGCCTTCAGTTGAGCATCGTGCTTGGGTTTCAGGAACTCCTTGGTATTCACTTGCATCGGTGTAATTTCCTCCTTGAACTTGTCCTTGTCTTTGTCAACGTCCCTATCCTTAACATGTATCGTAGATGACGCCGGCGTATCCTGCTCTCTGTTCCTCTCGCGCACTGGCTCAAAGAGCCTTTTCCGCTTGGTGGCATTGGTAAAGCGCTTATAGCGCACCAGCACACGATTCAGCAAATGACGCCGATGGACAATGTGCCGACGCAGACGCTCAGCCTTAAGCTCGGATGCCTGATCCGTTTCCGGCTCCTGCTCGTTCAGTTTGAATACGTTTTGCCGCACACGCATCTCTGAGTTCGGTGAGTGTGGACTCCTCTCAAGCAGATTGCGCAGCACTAAATCCAGACTCTCACGCAACATCTCAAAAGTATCGAAGCCCGCCTTGTCCTTTGGTATGGGATGCAGTCTCTCCCAGTTACCGCAGGCAAACTTGTAAAAGTCCACGCACGGATCCGCGTGTCTGTTCATGTAACGTTGCATGGTCTTCGACTGGGCCTGCCGTATATCCTCCCGAGTGCCCTGCTCATTCCAAAAAGATTGCAGTGAGCTCTCAATCAACTCCGCTTCCAAATTATCCACGTGCTGCTCCTGCTGTGCTTCGCGTCGCTCCCGCGCTGCCTTCCGTCGCCGGGACATGTACTGACTTTTATCCGGATACCGTTTGGGTGAGCTCTTCTTGTGAGTGGTGTCGAGCTCGGAGCCTTCATCGTCGACCACCGTGTTCCTCTCGGTGTCTGTCGCTTCGTTCGCAAAGCACTCGCTGGGCATTGCGCCAATTACAGAGCCATGGGGTAGGAAGGATGTGCGGGCATCTTTCATCAGAATGCTGCGATCCTCTAGCTCCAGCGTCTCGCCATTCGCATAGCGATAAGGCAGACAGCGTTTGGCTTTCTCTGCTGCGTTCAACTCTATCTGGGCACGCTTGGCGTGCGGCAACAGGAACTCATCATTGATTAGGTCATTGTAGGTCTCGCCCTCCGGCAGCAGCGACTCGTAGTCCTCCAGGTAGCCGGGCACCGAGATGTCAGCTTTGCGTTGCTCGCGTACGCGTTGTTCGCTCAACTGCAGCGCTTGCAGCATTCCGTCCAGCCGCAGTAGCAGCAGCAGCACCAATGTCAATGGCAGCATCACCACTGGAATCAGTAAGAGCAATTTGCAACAGGTTAGACCGGGACACCACTGTACGCGACCCGTTTGCTGATTAACCCCTAGCCCCAGCTTGACGCGACGCTCGGCACGAGCGCCATGCGGATTTGGCGGTGGGTGAGCACCGTGCACCTGCACCAGCGTCAGCTTCAGGGGGCTGAGTCGGCTCATAATGCACGTTTTCAAATATGTTTAATCAATATGAAAACGACAACGAATACTGCCGAATGGCGTGCTCTGGCCTTTATACTTTAATTAAACGCAATTTTGTTCGCGACGCAATTGCGAAAGAATGAAAAGCCGCCAGCTAAAGAGCCGCGAATCGAGATTCGAAAACCGAGAACCGAGAACCGAGCACCGAGCACCAAGCAACGCGAACCGCGAACTGCGATCTGATAACCGAGAGCAGCCAGCAGCGAGATTGAGTGCGGGCGCATCAGTCGCGCGCGCATTGCCTACTGAAACTGCTAGCTCCATTTGGGGCTGTCCAGTGCGCCGGTCAGGCTGGACGTAATCACGGCGCGCGACAAACAATTGAATGAAGACGACAACGGCAGAGACGACGCCGACACCCACAGCGCGGCGCTTAAATAAGCCCCTCAGAAGCATAGTACACAAGAAAAGGAGATGGCGTCAGAGACGGAAGAAGAGATAGAGACAGAAGAGGTAGCGACGTAATTGTGATCTGTGTTTACTGTTCAGATACTCTCCGTATGTATGTGTGTGTGTGTGTGTGTGTGTGTGTTTATGCGGTCTGCTACTTCCATTTAGTTTGCCTGACAGGCCGTAAAGCCAAGTAAATATTGACCGC